GCCTATATTAAACAATAATTAGATATTTTTATATGCCCATATTTTTATGCTACCAAACAAAATTCTAAATTTTCTATTTTCCTAAACTTGGAACATGACCGTTATGGGAATTTGAATGGGGTCAAAATTATTTTGAAAATTTCGACATACATACATCTTGTGATTGAGGGAGGGGGTGGGGGTAGATCTATTATGCCTGTGGGTCCGTCATATGCTACAAGTCCAAATTTGTAAATTTTCCCTTTTCCTTAAACTTGGAACATACCTGTTTATGGTAATTTTAATGGGGTCAAAATTATTTCGAAATTTTCGACATACAAACATATGGGGATGGTAGTGGGGTCGAGATTTTTACGCGCAAACACATTTATTATCTTGTTTATCTATACCCACGTAATTTAAAATATTGTTTAATGTAGGCCAAGTGATAAGTCATCAGTCGAATAGATTATATCATTTCTTAATCAATTATATACTTCTAGATTAGAGGTTTTAATATATATTCGTATTTCCCATTGAAAGTTTTTGTTATTGTAATCAAAATATCTGATGTTAAATTAGACAAATTATAATCTTGTTATTGCCAAAATAATATTTTTCTTTTAAAAAAGTTGTAGGACAGATTTATAATTGACTATTTATATTATATGCATGATTATGTATTTTACAATGTAAGGTCAATAGTGAGTAAACAATTCCAGTTGAGCTGGGAACTTGGGGAAAATTCTGCCCCCCCCCCCCACACCCCCAGCTGGCTCTCAATACTGACCCCTTATATCTGCATCATTGTTTCAAATAAATATGTACTATAATATGATGATACCAGTCTCTAGAGATTGTCAGAAAAGCCTACAAAGATTGATATAAATATTCTCATGTTTATCTTATTGTCAGTTATTTTTGGTTAACATAATATTTTATAAGTATGTAGAACGAGATCAAAATTCAAATAATTCATCTGTTGAATAGATTATATTATTTCTTAATCAATTATGTACTTATAGATAAGAGATTATCATTTGTATTTCCCTAATTATTATACATTATTTAGTTTTTCTTATACGCCTATATTAAACAATAATTAGATATTTGTATATGCCCATATTTTTATGCTACAGAACTAAATTCTAAATTTTCTATTTTCCTAAACTTGGAACATGACCGTTATGGGAATTTTAATGGAGTCAAAATTATTTCGAAAATTTCGACATACATACATCTTGTGATTGAAGGAGGGGGTGGGGGTAGATCTATTATGCCTGTTGGTTCGTAATACTACAAGTCCAAATTTGTAAATTTTCCCTTTTCCTTAAACTTGGAACATACCTGTTTATGGTAATTTTAATGGGGCAAAAATTATTTCGAAATTTTTGACATATAAACATATGGGGGTGGTAGTGGGGTCGAGATTTTTACGCGCAACCACATTTATTATCTTGTTTATCTATACCCACGTAATTTAAAATATTGTTTAATGTAGGCCAACTGATTATTCATCAGTCCAAATGAATTATATTATCTGTAAATTATATACTTAATTATAGATAACGGGTTTTAATATATTTGTATTTCCCACTGAAAGTCTTTGTTATTGTAATCAAAATATGTGATGTTAAATTAGACAAATTATAATCTTATTATTGCCAAAATAGTACATTTTTTTTTTAATGAGGTTGTAGGACTGGTGTCTACTGTTATACCCCACCTCCCCACCTCCTTCCTAGCTGTCTCTCAATACTGACCGCTCCTATTTACATCATTGTTTCAAATAAGTAGGCCTATATACCTGGGCTGGGGCCATTACATTACCATTACCATTACTTTTTAAGTGTAATCATTACAATTTCTCATTTTTAACAATGTAATTAATTACCATTACCAATTACATTGAAAGTAATTAATTACCATAACCCATAACTGTATGACTATATAAATAAAAAACATTTTTCATAGAAATTAAAGACAACCTTATTTTTCTGCCATGAAGCGCCTACAAAATCAAACTCAAAATAATCCTTGATTCACTTAATAGATATTTGTTTATCAATTGTCATTTCTAGCAACTACAACATCAAGGCAAATTTTATAGTGATAGGCAGTGGTGACAAAACTGACATTTTCACTGTATGACTTGAAAATTTAATCAAAAGAATAGTTAATTAACTGTATTTTCTTTTAAGTAATTTTTTTAATTTTTTAATCAATCCAAATAGTTTGTCTATAATATATTGTATAATAACTGGTAAATTATTCAGCATGACTCTAAAACAAAATATATTAGTTTTAAGTAACCATAAAATGATGAGATACTTGAAGGTCATTGATTGAGTGATTGGCTGTAAATTAGTATTAATCTTTGATTACAATATACATCTTTTCAGAAATCCTCTTTAATTACATTTCCATTACTCATTACTTTTGAAATCTTCCATTACTCATTACATGGCCATTACTTAAAAAATGTAATGATTACATTCCATTACCATTACCCCAGCCCTGTTATATACTATAATATGATGATACCAGTCTCTAGGGATTGTCAGAAAAGCTTACAAAGATTGATATAAATATTCACATGTTTATATTATTGTCAGTTGTGTTTGGGTAACATAATACTTTATATAAGGACATAGAACGAGGTCAAAATTCAAATAATTCATCTGTTGAATAGATTATATTATTTCTTTATCAATTATTTACTTATAGATAAGAGATTTTGATTTATATTTTTATTTCCCTAATTATTATACATTTAGTTTTTCTTATACGCCTATATTAAACAATAATTAGATATTTTTATATGCCCATATTTTTATGCTATAAAACAAAATTCAAAATTTTCTATTTTCCTAAACTTGGAACTTAACCTGTTTATGGTCATTTTAAACGGGGTCAAAATTATTTTGAAATTTTCGACATACAAACATATGGGGGTGGTAGTGGGGTCAAGATTTTTACGCGCAACCACATTTATTATCTTTTTTTTTATCTATACCCAGGCATTTTAAAATATTGTTTAATGTAGGCCAACCGATAGTTCATCAGTCGAAATAGATTATGTCATTTCTTAATCAATTATATACTTATGTTTTTAAGATTTTTGCCTGCAACCACATTTAATATTTCTTTATCTATACCAACTTATTTTAAGATATTGTTTAATATTGGCCAACTTATATCTTGTTTCGTAATCATTAATATACCCTATATGTATTAAATACTTAAGCGTTTCTTGATTGAATTTAGAGTTTAGACTACTTTTTTTGTACATTTCACCGATGTGGTTACTTGTTTAGTTGAATTTTACTACATATGCTTACATTCGTATTTCGTGTAGCATATAGCAGATCATGACTCATGCTGGCATTACACGATTGGTTCTTTGGGTTGTATTCCTAATTGTTTTCAAATTTGAGTGAAGTCTGTGTCACTACAGACCCGGGACTGTACAGCGCAGTGGACACTTACGGCTAGCCCCCGGATCCATTCACTTTTTTGAGTTGTCTGTATGTTTGTGTTTTCCTGAGTATGATGTCCTGTCCGTGTATTTGTTTTTGTGTAAATTTTGTGTGGTGCAGTCCCCCTGCACTTACTATTATAGATGTAGTTAAAAATTATTTACAAATGAAATATTTCACCATCGTTGTTTTTTCTGAATCTGTAATTTTGCTGATGTTATAGTGTATCTTTGTATATATTTTATTACTATTTAATTTTAGTCAAAATAGCAATTGACCAATGTCAGAATTGATATCTCGTTAATCTTTCCTGTCTTTTAACTGTTTGGTTTTAAACTTAATGTAACGATATATATTACGTAATTATAGTTAACACGCATTCTTGCTATGTCCATATCTTCTTCTGTATTTAAACATCTGTTTTCTATGTACAATTTAACATTTCTGGTCAAATATTATTATATAATTATTTTAATCTTAAGCTTGTATATATGTTCCATATTCTACTGTAACTTTAGTCTGGTGACTTGTTTTAGTGATACCTATCTTATTATTGTGACCATTAGCCAGTTTTGGACACTCGTTTATTAAAAGTACAATTTTAAATATTTATCTGAGTTTTTGTCATTAGTGTTGGAATAAGGTACAACCCCCAGAAAACAGTACTTCGGCACTGTGAACAGGTAGCGGTAGACGTAAAATGAGATGCTGTTTAAGTTAAGCTTCTGAAATCAATGCACATGCCATTATTGACGATTATGTGAACGAGGCATGAGGCTTTATATTAATTTGAGATAACAATTTTTGCTTAGCATTGGAGTATAGTGCATTCAAAGCATTAGGCCAACACGTTTTTAAACTTTCGGCAAATTATTTGTTTCTGTTCCCCCCCCCCCCCCCTGGAAAAAATTGGCGCCCATATCAGTATGGGCGCCCCATAAATCCGATTGACATTGTTGCACTCCCACAACAAGATTGGTTTTATAAACATATCGTTATATGAGGCCCCCCCCCCCCCATAATGAATCACACGATTAACACCACAACTTGATTGAGGGGGTGTCCAAAGCTGCGTGATCTGTGGGGTACTTTATCCAGGAGGGAGGGGGGGGGCATAATGACATGTTTGGTGGGGTGCCTTATAATGACAATATAATGATTGTCGGGCTGCAGATATGCCGAGTGAGATTGGCTGAGCGCGCCCACGTCTTGATCAATGGGTTGCCTCATCCAGGAAGGGGTGGGCCACGACGAGATCATGGGCGCCCATAATATAATTTGCGGGGTGCCCATATTGCCGAGTGAGATTGGGCGACCAAAACGGCGTGATAATCTTCAAAAATCAAACAATTTGCACTGATCAAACCTGATTCCAAAGTTTTCGTTTTGCTCATAAATTATAATATCAAAATATCATATTGCAAATTCAGTCTCAAAATTGAAATTTTCATAGTTCCCCTCACGCTGATTTCGGTAAGTATTTAACCGGATCCGTCTAGCTGCGGTCGATTCCGGTATATTTATGTTGGTGTCGGTAATGGTTTCAACGTCTGGATGATAAGGATTACTGAGTTGCCCACCTGACCTGAAAGATGGCGGACCTCGAAGAAGCCACTGAATTATTGAAAAAATGCGATGTAAATGAGGTGGCAAAGGTTTGTATTGTACATTAGTAACGTGAGATAGATAAGCAACTTCGAATTTACTAGTTTACGCCATGATCGTTTCTATCTTTAAAATGGAATTCAGCGATATCAAATTTATGCGTTTACTTTCAATTTATTTTTCTTGACGTCTGACCACGCCCACCTATAAATTCGAAATGAAATGGGGTTTAAGGTCCTACTGTTCTGCTCTTGAAGACGGGCATATGCCATACAGTGTGCCATGAGGAGGGAAATTTTGCCTGGACAGTGGCACTATATGGCCTACTCTTTTTATATCGAATTCCAAATGCCAAGGGATATATGTTATGTGCACGCCAATGTGTTCACAGGACCTCGGTTTTCCATCCCATCCGAATAACTAGACAGCTGTCCTTGTCAGGCCCTCCATCCTGCACCACTGACAAAGCGAAACCATGTCAGAAAATCCTGATAAACTTTCTTGGCCAATGCAGGGATCGAACATGCGACCTCCAGACTAGCGAGCCAGCATCCTACCCACTTAGCCAACGTGGCTCCCACGTATAAATTCAGTGAATCTAATATTAATAACGTTATTGTGCAGGGTGACTGCACCACATGTAAACCATTACACAAGTGCTGCTGAATTGTAAAATATTACACATTTATAAACGTAAATCGGTTTGCTGTTATATGCAAAACATATTGTGCACAAATACCATGTTTTTATTAAGTATAGAATGAATAAAAACAAGGGAATGTATACGGACTATTTCTATTTTTTTCGTTTTCTCTTATGTAGTGACATTCATTTACTTTTTTGTATTGTCCGATATCCTCTCACATAACAACTTTTGGTCTTGGAAGGAATTATTAGTGAGCAGAAATTCGCCTGTGGATCTGTTATCACTTGTCACATCAAAAAGAAAGATAACTCATGTTTTCCTTTTGCTTCATTTCCTTTAACTGCCATTAGAAATATCAAATACTATACATAAACCATGCATTATTTTGAATTACAGCTTACTCATCTTGTGGCATCCAGATTGTGTACAAATAAAAATATTAGTTATGAAACATACAGTAAAAAATGGACTTTAGAAGAATGGTGGATTGTGACAAATTATTTAGAAGATACTCTTACAAAATCAGCTAAAAACAGACTCTCTAAAGATGAGGTAATACAGCAAAACAAATATACACAAGAGATGGGTAATTTCCATTTTTACACATGTCCATGTAAATCTGGTTGATATTTCCATAACCCACGTGCAATTCACATTTCCTCGTGGACACTCTACAATCTGAGTAAAACACAGATCCTATTTCGTTTTATTTTTTATAGTTCAAAATTTCGTTTTACTTGTCATTACTACACAAGGATCTGGAAGAGTTGTTATCATTGACGTGTTCTGGATGATGTGAGGGATTAGCCAATGAAACAGTCTGTTACAGCAAGATTTTGGCGTAAGGTGCACTGGACTGTGCGTAATCCACTATAAACATCAACGCTGATTGGTTAATCAAATGTCTCACGTCATAGGGTCAAAAGCCACTCAATTAATCCCTGGAACTTTCATGTACCGGTATTTCCAGATCTATTACTTTAATTCTTGTTAATATTTAGCAGTTATATGCCTTGGTTATATTACTGTTGAATTTTAATCACATTGATTTAAGATGGGTTATCTACCCTTGACAGTATTGGATTTAGGGTATGGGGATGGGGGGGGGAAGTGGGTTGAGTAGAAGATCAAAAGTTCCATTAGATGTCCAAGAGATTCTAATTTGGATTTGAAAATATGAAGGTCAACCTCAAATTGCAACGAAAGCTTTTGAATTGATACATTTGACTGGCTAAAGGTTTCTCATCAAGCCTGTTATTAGTGACTGACTTTAAAGAGGATTAAACCATATGTTAGTCTCAAAATGACCCAGTTTGTGTGAGTGGAAGTAAAACACCATCTCTCTCTCTTTCTCTCTTTCTTAAAAGGCCTGGCTGCGACTTATACCTTGATTGAAGTTTGTTCAATATTTCTGTTAAGTCACCCAGAATATACCTCAGAATGCACCAAATCGAATCTGTTTTTTAAAATTTCTGGACCATTCGCTTTTTTTTTTTCAATCAGTCCCTCCCCATTGACTTGTTTCTCCCCACCCCCCACCATAAGGTTCATCCATCCCTGGCCATTGAATACTTGATCACTTTTTAGTTTCTTGGATGGCGGAATGGTTAGCGTGTGCGCGTTGTATCATACGATCTGTCATTGAGTCAACTGGTGTGGTTTCGAATCCCTGGTTGTATGTGACGAGGAGTAGGGTCGGCTGTTGAACCTCGTGGGTTTTCTCCCACTGCTAAAGACCCCTACGCGCAAGCAAAGTATTGAAATAAAATTAAACCATATGTTAGTCCTGAAGTGACCTAGTTTGTGTTGAATGGACATTACCCCCCCGCCCCCCCTCTCTCTTTCACTGTGTGCATACTCTATATTGATAGTTACCCATAAAAAATAACAAGATTGACAACAAGGAAGTCAGTAAGTGTATATTTAAGTAACTTTTTAACTTGTTTTAGAATATGAAATACTAATCCTGTTTATGATATGTTACAGATTTTAAATATATTGTCACCATTAGCAGATGAATATAAACAGAGTATTATAGAAGTTCTTTCTGTACGTAATGATGATCTACATCAACATCTAGTCTCAAAAACAACCCATGTTTCACAAAATGTCCTCACTGACTTCGACTGGCAAATGAAGGTAGGTAGAGGTTGTATTCATGGGCGGATCCATGAATTTTTGCAGGAGGGGGTTTGCCAGGTTCCGGTTAAGGAAATTTTATGCCATCATCGTCTCCAAATTACGTAGGCATACATACACACTGATCTTTTTAAAGAGAGAAATCACATTGTGATTCAATTTCGTTGATGCAAAGCATTAATTGTGATATCACATATGTCTATATTATTATCTAGCACTTTGAATGTCAATGCTATCCCACCATCTGATGTTAAAGCATTTATTGTGATATCACATATGTCTATATTATTATTTTGCGCTGTGGATGTCAATCCCATCCCATGATGACGTAACTTTTTGTAAACATATTTGGAGCTCTGTTTAAACCCGAATGATATTGTTACGCAGTTAGATATTGGTTCTTAAGCAGACTATGCTTTCAGCAGTGTTGAGTGGGATTAGGTCTAATCAAATGAAACACTGCGAGGAGTATACATTATATGGATATTTTTTTTCTTTCAGTTGATTATGTCCAGTGATAAACTGTCTTCCATTCACGAACCTCTACTCAATTTAGATTTACAAACTAAAGATGCTAATAATCAAAGTCAAGTTGTTTCTCTTGAATTAAATAAAGATGACTTGAAAAAACTGATCACAAGTTTAGATGGTGCTAGTAAGGTGAAGAATTATATATTTTATTTATTGATTGAGGGGAGGTGTGGTTGATGGAGGGGAAGTGTGTCCGTGTGTGTGTGTGGGGGGGGGGATTGAGGAGAGGTGTGGTTGCTAGAGGGGTGTGGTTGATTGAGGGGAAGTGTGTGGGGGGGGGGGGGCGGGGTGATTGATAGAGGGGTTGATTGAGGGGAGGGGTGTGGTTTAATTCCTAGACAAGAACATAAAGATATAATCTATATCATCAACAGAATCGTATGTCATTTCGTTAGATTAAGTAGAAATTGTTCTGTTAACTAATTTTATTTTTTATTTTTACTTAAACATTTATTTTAGGCGAACATGTATGTTCACATCAAATTTTTACTAAAATCAAAAAGGAATGGCTATTTTAAGATTGATGAAATTTTTGGGTTTGTAAGAGAATGTTATATAGATTAAAAAATTAGCATCACATTTTACAGAAAAAGTACCGCCAACTTTGTATGGAGTGCTTGAAGTGCAAAAAATTGATACTTATTTAAAAAAAAAATCAATATTTCGATACAGTGTAGAAATTTTACTACGCTATTAGAAGTTGTTACTTATCACATGCATTATGTATCAGTGGGTATTGTTTGAACAAACATTATTAAAAGGCTTATCTTTGTCGGTTTCTTGAAAAATTAGCGTTGAAAATCAACTCAAACAGGAAAATAGCTAAAATCACTAACCATGTATAGGGGCCTTCCACGAAAAATGTGAAAATTTAGGAAATGTTGCATGTACACGTGTCTATCAATGATGAAAAGCCCATCTTTGATATTTTACTCCTTCATTTTTTATTTTCATTAAATTTGAACTGTGAATTATGATTTTTTTCCATTTTATGCCTATTTGAACGGATTGATTATAATACTTTTAATTGCCTGATCATCATGAAACAAAACCTTCTAAGAGCATTTGATTAAGTATGTGGGGGGTTTGATGGCTGAATGGTTAGCACGCGCGTGCTGTATCATACGGTCTGCCATTGAGTCAACTGGCGGGGATTTGATTCCCCGGTTGTACGTGACAAGGGGTAGGGTAGCCTGTCCAACCTCGTGGGTTTTCTCCAGGTCCTCCGGTTCCTCCCACTGCTAAAGAACCATACGAGCAAGCGAATTATTGAAATAAAAAAATTAAATCATATGTTAGTCCCGAAATTACCTAGTTTGTGTTGAGTGGATGTTAAACCCCATTTCTCTCTCTCTCTATTAAGTATGTCTAATCATATTTATAAACAGTTTTCTAATGTGGTTTTTATTTATTTTTTTTCTAGGCAGTACAGCAATTATCAACATGAATGACGTGCAACATTTTACATTTGGTGTATTACCAACATTTCATTAATGATTTGTGTTGTCAATTTCATATACAAGAATTAACGAAGCAAGATTAAACATTCTCAAAGAATTTGATAAAAGTATTCATCATTTCCAATCTGATTAAAATACAGATCTATATTTCGTTTTGTTTTTTTTATACTTTCGATGGCCTCTACTACATGAAGATCTGACAAGTTGTAGCAATAGGTCACTTCAGAGGTCATACAAGCGGCTTTTGACCCTATGACATCAGACAGTTGATTAACCAATCAGCATTGATGTTTCTAATGGATTACCCACAGTTCCGTGCAAAACACGCCTAAAGCTCGCCGTAACAGACCGTTTCATTGGCTAATCCCGAACACCATCCAGAACATGTCAATGATAACAACTCTTACAAGTACTAGTGTAGTAAAGACAAGTAAAATGAAATTTTGAACTATAAAAAACAAAACGAAATAGGATCTGTGTTTTAATCAGATTGCATCATTTGAACTTTAAAATAGAAATATAATAAATTGCGTATAGGCATAACAAATCCATATTGCCATTTTTAAACAAGAACAAATCATTCCTAAGTTTTCTGTACATAGAACTTTGTTTTTATGATAAAAGTTGTTATTTATTTAATTTATTTGTGTTGTGTTATATTTTGAAATGAATTTATTCAGGAAAAGTGAAATGTTAATATCTAGGTCCTAAACGTACTTTAACAGAAATTGCTCAAATGTACGAAGCTATGAAAACTCCTTAGGTTCTTTACAAGAGTTTTGACGAAAATTATGTTTTGACTCGATGGGGTTTATCCTTACTTGGAGGCACGGTGGCCAAGTAGGTAAAAGGCTGGCGCACTACCCTGTAGGTCGGGTGTTTGATTCCTGCATTGGCCAACATGGGTTCCCCTTGTCAGTGGTGCAAAATGGAGCGTCTGACAAGGACAGCTGCCTAGTCATTTGGATATGATGAACAACTGAGGTCTGTGTATACATTGGCATGTATGTAAAAGATCCTTTGGCAGTTTGAATTTGATATAAGAGTGGGCCATAGTACCACTGCCCAGGCAAAATTCCCATCATAGCACACTGTATGGTGTATGCCTGTCTTCATTAGTCCCAGAACAGTAGGATGTTAAACCCCATTTCATTTTATTTTGCATGTGCATCAATGTTACTGGTAATTTCATGATATACCTCAATCTATAACATTCTGTGGAGTCCAACATTGTCACAATTAACTGATCAATAGCTTGAACGGGAAGGAAGACTTTGTCTATAGTAACTCAATAATTAGTAGCCCTACAACATCATGTCATATTCTTAAAGCAGACTGATTATTTCCCCTTATTTCATGATGGACGACTAATTTTTTTCTCCCATCTTCCTGCATTTTGTGGTTGACTTTTTGGTTTAGAATTGGAGAAAAGGGATCAAATTTGCAATTTCATAGCAGTTTTGGGTAATACTAATGATATTACAGCAGAGGGATAGGGGGGGTGTAAAGTGTCTTGTTGCAGTTGCAGAGCAGAGTCAACATCAAATCCCCGTAGCAAAAAATCTAAATGGCCAACCCCCTACAAAATTGATGAGAAGATTGCCAAATGCAGTCCCCTATGTGCATATAAAGATTGGAACCATCCGAATGTTGAGCAAAAAGCTACAGCCTGTGATGTTACAACCATTTAACATTGAAATCAATGGGCAAATAATTGCTAGTCTGAGTCCATAAAGATGTCTTATTATCTCCCTTTAATGCTCAAACCATTGTAAATATTTTTGTATTTTAGTCTACAAATGAGATCTTTCAGGTAAACTTTTGGCAGGGAGGGTATGCATATCTGAAGAGTTTAAAATGTCTAACTATCTCCCTTTAATGCGCAAACCATTGTAAATATTTTTGTATGTTAATCTACAAATGAGATCTTTCAGGTAAACTTTTGGGAGGCAGGGTATGTATATCTGAAGAGTTTACATAACAAAATTTTGATGTACTTTTTTGTAATTTATTTGAATACACTCTGCTGGGCGTCCAGTCCTAAAGTCCTTGAAAAGTTCCTTGTATTTAATATACGAAGTTGAATATCATTTTACAATATTTATTACAATAGTACACTATATGATATAAGATTCAGATGTTATCACTTTACACTTTTCACACAGATATTCAAATAGTTTCCATAATCTTAGTCAGTATTTCACTGTTTACTTGCAGTTCATTTCACTCCTTTCAGTAAATAATTAAATTATAGTTTCATCTATTTTACCATTACTCGGCACTCTGTTGAGCCTCTTTTCTGGCCAACTCTTTATTTTTAGTCTCACCATAATCAACTACTAAATAGAGAGCAACAAAAGCTGAAAAGGGGAAAAAAATGGTGTTAAAATAGATCAGATTCACTGTACATTAAAAAAAATTCATACTATATTTCGAGAAAATGGACCTCCTTTAAAATACCGTCCTTGTTTTCTATAAAAGGTTTTGAATCGGCCCAATTAACATTTTGAGCGTTGATTCTTTATTATCAACTGGAAATGTATGGGCAGATAACAGCCTCAATTCATTCTATAAAACAAAACTAAGACTGAAAAGAAATAACTAATAACAGAGAGAGAAATGGGGTTTAACATCCACCCAACACAAACTAGGTCATTATGGGACTAACTCATGGTTCAATTTTATTTCTTTAATTCACTTGCACATAGGGATCTTTAGCAGTGGGAGGAAACCAGAGAACCAGGAGAAAACCCACGAGGTTGGACAGGCGACCCTACTCCTCGTCATGTACAACCGGGGAATCGAAACCACGTCTTTGACTCAATGACGGACCTTATGATACAACGTATACATGCTAACCATTCGACCATCCAACCCTCCTCTGTGTTGTTGAATGGCAAATCTGAAAACTCCACATAGATTTTATTGTAATTATGGAAATATAGATCTTAAGTTATGAAACATACGTGGAACTACTTTAAATACTGATTCTGTAAATCGCCTCCATACATTTGGTAAGCCTCTTGATATTACCCCAGCAAATGCTCTTTGTTCAAACGGAGATAAGCTGTATCTTACTATTCCACTCACTTTGGCTAAATTACCAAACTGCTTCCCCATTTTCTGCAAGAGAAAACGATAGACGATGGTCACAGGGACAAATTTTAAAACAAGGGCGACTGTAATACAAAAAGATGAAAGCTATGATTAGAATTATTATAGCGCGAAGCTTTAAAGCATCGCGCTTGAGCAAAGCTCTTTTCTGGTAACACAGGAGCGTAACCAAAATTGTCACCCAAAGACTGTTGATTAAAAAAAAATTCAGACCGTAACCGGATACACTGGGCAAAACTGGCAATGGCATGCCAACTCACCAAATCTCGCCCAAGCGAGATTACGCGTCTCATATAAAGATTTCTATGACGTGTCTACATCACTTATTTTTGACGTCAATGAAAATAATTTTCACACTCTTTTTGATCTTTTTTTTGTTAAACCATATTAATCATACAACAATCACATCAGCTTCGCTCAATTCATATTATTCAGTTAAAATGACCAGAGACCCTGTTTGATTTGAGTAAACAAAAGAATTCTTGATATTATTGATGTTTTTAGTGGGATGGCAATCTGTATTTGTTGCAAATTTTAAGTGTAAGTGTAAGACGCAAGAAAGATTAAGAAGAGATAAAAGTCAAGCCAGTTTTCAGATATAAAATGAAAATTGGGTTGAATTTTCTATTGACATTCTATCTCAAATTGTCTCAAATACTAAGGTTTATTTCACTGCGACGTTTCAACAAGATTTCACAAGTCCTTATCAAGCATATTTGTGTATATATTACCAATTCAGAAATTCTCACTCTCCGACTTCTCTCATGCGAAATTTAGTAGAAGTAGAAGTGACCTTCACCAAACGTGCAAAGCTGTTTACTTTACTTGCGTATTTCCACAAAAACGAATATAAATGTAGACAATATGAAAAGTTTTACCCTTTTTTTTGTTTTAAATTCGAATTCCTTCGCCAGCTTCGACAATTTAATACGAAACAATTGTAAAGAAAATGTATACATGTACATGTCAAGGTCAATTTGTGAAGTTCAAGGCTATTCATATTGATGTTCGTCCTTCTTGTGCGTGGAGGAAAAGAACAAATTAATGTTATTGGTTTGAGTGACAGATATTTATTGGTTTATTACTGTGGTTTCTTGTTTTTTCATCAACCTAAAACTTTAACGTAATGTGCCCTCAACTTTACATTGCAACAATCGTTTAATTTATTGACAGCAACTGCCGCTAGCCCCGAGAACATCGCTAAAATTTCGGGATAAATTGACAAGAGCTCTGGGCCTGGCTCTCGACTTTTAGCCTATCCAATGGTCATCACTCTTCACTGTCATTTACAGCCACAGTATCAGTAGTCTAACCTACCATACCATTTACATCAGTACAAAATAAACATGGTCAGCACCATGTGTCTTTACTGGCAGTCAACAGACTTATAAATGATACGAAAACTGGTGCCAGTGAGTTTTGAAGTTTGGATTTATTCACCATAAACTCCCAGCCACAACCCTGCAGTAACAATGAGAAACCGAAGTAATTCCGGAATCCGTTTGGATTACTACCAGAGACTAGTTTATAAAAGTATACTGAAATATCAGGTGAATATTAAAGGATTACCGGTAGGCCTAGGCCTACATTAGATGATGAACACACTCACTGAGTTGACTGAGTCAGCTGTATCTATTCTAAATAATCTTACTTATATTGTGTGAATATTTAGTTTTAAAAATTTTGGGTATTTGTTTTTTCATTAATAACGATTAAAGGGAATATTTTTATTCTTTTGGGCCTTTAAACGGCATTATAAAGCTTAGCTGAACTGTGAATACGATAGAAACACAATTATTGATTAAGGTTACATTAAGTTACAGTACACAATAAATCAACAACATTGTGTGTTTTAGTGGAATAATGATTACAACAGAAGTATTGCATTTAATACCGAAACCATTAATTTGACCAGCTACTATAAGCTTACTAGTTGTTTCATAATTAATATTTAATGCATTACCACAGTGATTCTCAACCAGTGTGCAGCGAAATTTTAAACGGTACACTAAGAAAATGTGAAAAACCATCCCAATTGAGTCATTCTATGGGTCTATGACTAGTCTCTGTCTACAGTTGTATGCCGTCTGACTTACCATGTTTTTGTTTTGCAAAATTTAAATATTTTTCATATATATTTAGCCAGGTGTGCCGCTATTTCTTCATGTGTTCTAAGGTGTGCCATAATCAAAAAAATGATTAAGAACCACTGCATTACTACATGTAGTAGGCTACAACAAATGAATATTTCTCATACTATACTATTTTTTACGTAGTATGGTATTGAATTCCATGTACATGTATTTACCTACTCATCTGTGTGCATAATTTCAGAACCCAGCTACAGGTTTGATATCAAGTAGTGAGACTAATTCTCATGCTTGGGTGAGAGATAATGTATACTCTATTATATCAGTGTGGGGATTGGCAATGGCCTACAGAAAAACAGCTGATTTGGATGAAGATAGAGCTAAAGCTTATGAACTAGAACAGGTTAGATGATCTTCTTTAATTGGCATTTAGAAATTGAACATATACTATTCAAAAAAAGTAGGGGATATTTGATTTTGGGGGCATAATACTAAAATATGCAAATGACTACGAAAAAAGTCACTATAGAACCTAACAGAAGAAACATTTCCAGTTACATGTGATGCCCAAACGCACCAATAGCTACCGCATGGAATGCAGGTGATGCTTGGGATCATCATGGGTGTCCAACCCAAGATTTGCACGACTCTGACTTTGAATGTTACAGTCATTGTGGCATTGAATTCCAGGGTGGAAACATCAGTTTAATTGTTTTAGTGACCAGAAAACAAATTTTGATATGCGTGGGCTTACCCAAAATGAAAGGTTACGTGCCCTTGGCATGCTACAGATCGGCACAACACAGGCGGTTGTGGCGCGGACGATGAATGTTTCTCAGTCTGTCATAAGCAGGCTATGGTCCAGATACAGTGATACACAATCTGTACAGGACAGACCACGCTCAGGTCGACCAAGGGCGACAACTCAAGCCCAGGATCGATTTATCCGTACCTTGGCCTTGAGAAATCGTGTCATCACAGCAAATCAGATCAGCGCTCGTCTTCAAACAGACACTGGTGTGAGAGTGAGTGGCCAGACGATTCGGAATCGACTGCATAGGGGTCACCTTCGCGCCCGACGTCCTCGCGTGATCCCTTGTTTGAGAGATCATCACATTCAGGCAAGACGTCGTTGGTGTAGGGATCGTCAACACTGGGATAATCGACGCTGGAGCAATGTGATGTTTTCAGATGAGTCAAGGTTCACTGTTGATTTTTTGGACAGACGTAGGAGGGTGTGGCGTCGTCGAAACGAGCGCTTCCAAGACGTTAACGTCATCAGACATGATCAATTTGGGGGTGGTTCTGTTATGGTGTGGGGAGGAATCACTGTTGCTGGAAGAATGGCTTTACATGTTGTTGCAGGGCGTGTTACAGGCCAGTACTACCGGGACAACATCTTGGCAGTCCATGTTGTGCCGTTCGCACCACGTCATGGCCGCCGTTTCATCTTCCAGGATGACAACGCAAGATGTCACAGGGCCAGGATCGTTACAGGTTACCTCCAACAACAGAACATCACCACATTACCTTGGCCAGCACTGAGTCCCGACCTCTCCCCCATCGAGCATGTCTGGGACGTCAACAACGTCCTGCCAATGTCCAAGAACTTGCTGCTGCGTTGCAACAGGAATGGGACAATCTGGACCAAAATGACCTTAGACGTCTCATTAGGAGTATGCCACATCGGATCAATGCTTGTTTGGCAAACAGAGGAGGATTTACCCGTTACTGACTTGGTTGTGATGCTGTGGTAACTTTGCTGTTTGACCCCGGGTATCATTTTACCCTTATAATGGTCAGTCTGTGCCTTACTTAGTCTAACGATCATTTGGAATAAATCGATGAATGTGAACTTCATTTCATTTTGTCATTTGTTTCTTCGTCAGTTTCATTAGGTGACTTTAATAACACTTAAAAATCAAATATCCCCTACTTTTTTTGAATAGTATATTACCACAAGGTACAATTTTATGGATACACAATTACTGGGTTTAATACAAAGAAAGACCTGCAATATACAGATTTACCTCTGGCATAATGCATGTTTTATGTGTCATCTGTTTATTTTGAGATTGTGGTGTGGACATCAGCCTCTCTGTTAGCTTGTTTTCCAAGCAAAAAAACCCAAAGCTCATTGCTCTAAAGCACCCGTCATATTCATCTGCATAATTCAAAATAATTGTATGGTATATATTTTGTATTAAAACAAAAAATGTTTTATTTTTACAGGCCATAGTGAAAGCTATGAGAGGATTATTAAAATGTATGATGGTACAAGTTGATAAGTTAGAGAAATTTAAGAAAACACAGAGTCCGAGAGATGCTCTACATGCTAAATATTGTAGTAAAACGGGCAAGGCTGTAGTAGGAGATTATGAATGGGGTCATCTACAGATTGATGCAACTTCACTGTATTTATTAACATTAGCTCAAATGACAGCTTCTGGTATGTTTTATTTCTATTGATGTCATGCATTATTGGTTTTGTCAGCCATATTATTGTCAGGGGTGCAGGACAGGGGCCTTACAAATATTAGTCTGGATACGTTGTCAACATTTGAGAATAATAGGTAATTGGCTAGATTATCCGGTCTTTTACATTATCATAAACAAGGTCTAAGGGAGCTAACTAGTCCTAAAACAAGAGGTTGACGCCCATGAAATTAATTCAAGAATGTCATTTCAAAAAATCCTTTTGATTGCAATTTTAGTTCAATATCCAACACTCTTTTTTTTTTATTCTAAAATTTCTCTCTTCATGGGCCATATCTATGTTTTTTTAATTAATCCTAATTCGTCATCACGATTCATGTTTGTTTATATTAATGCAAGAATTATGGGATTTATAGCGGTAAGGGGTGCAACTCTTACCTGACCTAGCTAGAAGATACTTGATAATCAACCACATTAAAAACCAAACTCCTGGTTACACATGGGCAATGGAATTTTCGTCAAATATGGACAACTGTCCCAGACCCTCCGTACGTTGAGTACTAGGAGGTTCTTGGTGACCGAGACTACCCTGCAATAGGCATTGTTAGCTCTAGTATAATGCCTCGTTATGTAATTCTTCATCATTCATTTTCATGTGATTTTTGTGTAACCATATTTTTATTTTACAGGATTGGAGATAATTTATACGTTAGACGAAGTAGCATTTATACAGAATCTTGTCTTCTATATAGAAACAGCCTATAGAACACCTGTAAGTAATAATAGGTCAACATTCTTTTATTCCTGATTTACATAAATATTGCTTTAATAAGAAGGTCACTAAGACAAATGAAATGAAACGAAATGGGGTTTAACGTCCTACTGATCTGCTCTGACTGTGTAAATGAAAAGGGGCATACACTGTACTGTGTGCTATGAAGGAAATTTTGCCTGGGTAGCGGCACTACGGCCTACTCTTATATCGAATTCCAACTGCCAAGGGATCTTTCACGTGCATGCCAATGTATAAACGGAACCTCAGTTTTCAATCCGAACGACTAGACTGCTGTCTTTGTCAGACCCTCTGTCCTGCATCACTGACAAGGGGAAACCACGGCGGAAAAAAATCTGAATGAACTTTCTCAACCAATGCAAGTATCGAACAGACGAATTCCAGGCTAGCGAGCCAGCATCTTACCCATTTAACCATCGTGGCTCCCCCACCAGTAAGACAATAATGAATCAATTAAAAAAAATAGTTTACACAGAATTATATCGACTACATATGTGTAATTTTTAAAGAGTATATTGTTGTATTGTGTTTAATAAATATATTTATTATGGTAGGATTATGGTATCTGGGAAAGAGGTGATAAAACTAATCATGGATTACCTGAACTCAACTCTAGCTCTATTGGAATGGCTAAAGTAAGATACAAATTTTTTTTCTTTATTGCCCAATAAGTGAAATGTGGTTGTAAGTTCTTAGGTTGATCCCCAATCCTCAATTATTTAGACGTATATGTCCACTTCAACCAAGGGTGATATCGTAGACAAGTGTTTCCTAAGAAACTGGCCAGAGGAAGTCACAGAAATAGGCTTGATCCAGCTTTTTGAGTGAGACACAATGTCTTTGCAGGGAAGCGCCCAAGGTGAATTTCATCCGAAGGAGAAGCTCCAGATGGTGTAATGACTTGATGTGTTTATTAATTATACATTTGCATTTCTTGTGGGAGGTAGCTTTGTCATCACTCCTGTCCACCCATCCATCAAACTTTCTGTGCTTGAATTATTGCCCTTTCCCCAAAACCTTGTAAACACTCTGCAGATCAGAATTTTGGAGATTTATTTTTTTCGAACTTGTCCAAATTGTTTGACTAAATGTAGTATCGAAATTCATAGTTGCCCTATTGATTTCATGCACAGTTATTGCCTCTGGTCCTGAAGACTTAAAGCCAAATTTCAAAATACTAGTCATTGTCATGAGATGAAGAATCCTATTGATTTTCAACGATTTCCAAGTTATGGCCCTTGATCAATTTAAAATATCTTTAATATTTGATTGACAGTGTTTAAGGTCACGAGACGAAGACACCTATTGATTATCAGCAATTTCCGATAATTAATGCCAGGGTTATGGCCCTTGATCGCTTCAAAATATCTTGTGGATGCTCTGGAGGCTAAAGTTAATATCCAATTGACTTGAAATTTATACACAGTATTTAAGGTCATGAGACTAAGAATCCGATTGATTTTCAACGATTTGAAAAATTTTGTGGATGCTCCAGGGGCTAAAGTTAATATAAATTAATTCACAGTGTTTAAGGTCATGAGACAAACCATCTAAACAAATTTTAATGATTTCTGATAATTACTTAAACATGCATTATGCAAGAGCAAAATCTGCTTATTACAAGTCTTTCTTTAGGCCTGAAATGTTATCTAAATTATCAATTAGGCATTAATTAACTTATCCAGACCTTAATAAACTCTCGATGTCAAGGCTAGCCTTCGATGTAAGCTGGATTAGATTCCTATATGCCGCTAACGGCCAAAGATAATTAAATCAGAAAAAGTGGATAATCGAGACTATGCTGTTTATATTAATGATTTTAGTAATGATAACCGAGACTATGCAAAAATTTCACCGACTTCTTTCTCGGCTCATAGTGGATCAATTTGACTGAAATTTTCAGCAAATTACCTTTACATTATCTAGTTTTTAACTATTATAGCGAGAACTGCCATCTCGTTATCTTATCTCCCATAATGTATCTTTAATGGGTTGTTACTTGTAATAAGATTTTCACCTGTTGTAAATGTTTCCATTACTAACAAAAGAAATTAGGTAGAGTGATGTATAGTATTTTAGTTATTGTAATGTTTGTAAAGGTAATTTGTGTCATATTGTTTAATAAAGACACTCTGTTTTATCTTTAGGCTGCATTAGATGCTATTAATGAATTAGATTTATTTGGAGCTCGTGGTGGACCTGCATCTGTTATTCATGTTTTACCAGATGAAGCACAGCAATGTCAGGTGATTTATCTTCGTTTTATTGGAAAAATTATAGAAAAATAAACATGGAGAGAAATTCAAATGATGGAATTAATTTTTGTGCTATATTCATAATTCACAGGATAATTCTTATAGTTGTTTGAGATTGGGTATTCTAATTAAATAACCGTTAATTAAGTATATATCCAGTTTACTAAAAAACTATACAGGATACTCGTAACAATAAACTTTATGCATATTTGGTGTGGATGTCTATTCTATTGTAAATCTTAAAGTGTCATCATTGCGGCTAATTTTACAACATTGACAGATTACCAGAATTTATAATTAAGTTCACTCTTGTATTACAGAGAGAGAGAGAGAGAGAGATGGGGTTTAACGTTTTAATAATTCGCTTGCGCGTAGAGGTCTTTAGCAGTGGGAGGACCTAGAGAAAACTGTTGAGGTTGGACAGGTGACCCGGCTCCTTGTCACGTACAACCGGGGAATCAAAACCATGCTAGTTTACTCAATGACCTTATGATACAACGCGTACACGCTAACCATTCGTCCACCCTACCCCCCCCCCCCCCTTGTATTACAGACTGATAATAATTAACTGTTTTTATTTTTTCTGCAGGCTATTTTAGATTCTATGTTACCAAGAGAATCATCATCTAAAGAGATTGATTCAGCTCTATTAACTGTTATAAGTTATCCAGCTTTTGCTGTAGATGATGTTCAACTTATTGAACATACCAGAAAAACTATCAAGGAAAAACTCGAGGTAAAATTAGTTATTTCATGGTAGATTTTTACTTTTATTTATGTAATCCTAGGTTCCCACCATCACGATTCATGCTATGATTGAAATCATGGTTTTAATCGTGAAGTTAACATGGTAATCCTATCAGGTCTTATATATTGTGGTCAGTCGTAGTGAAAAGTATCTGCACGCACCAGATCATGGATTCAATAGAGACAATCCTATCATAACGCATCGCAAAAATGTGGGAACCTAACATTATATGCTATCATAGTCAATGAGCAAACAGCTGTGCTACAATGAAGATAATTCAGAAAAAATATCAAGAATGTTTTTAGCCCCAAAAAATTATTTCCAAAGTAAATCATAGTGTTTTTTTTTATTTTTTAAGGGCAAATACGGTTGTGCTAGATTTCTGAGAGATGGTTTCAAGACAGCAAAAGAGGTATTTATAACATTGTGTATAGTTTCTATTCATAAATAATTATTTTAATTTTATTTGATTGATGATGGTCATTGTGAATAAACTTGTAAGAAATACCTATATCCTGAACATCAGCAGTCAGGTTATTGATGTTGATGCTGTATAATTGTAGGGCTGGACGATATGTGAAATATTCATTATTGCGATATCAATGTAAAAATCCACAATATATTGCCATTATTGCAATATTATACTGCTTCAAGACAAAAGGCTCAAAAACAGGTGGCAAACTGTTCAAACAGATTTCTATAAGATGCATGTAAATTTAAATCATTGTAAGGTTAAGCTTACATATGTTTAGATAAAATATAATATTCCTTCAGAGAATATTATTAGGGAAAGAGAGTTAGAGTCAAATGATATATTGGAATATATTCCAATATATTGATTTATAAAAGTTATTGTCCAGCTCTAGTTAAACACAAAATTTATGCCTTAATACAGCTCTGTCGAGTATGGATTTATAAAGTACGACCAATCTAATTTATTCTTTGTTTCAATAAAATACAATAATCTTTGAGAGAATATTGTTGGAGGAATGGCGATAATCTACAGTCAAACGATATATTGAATTATTGCATTATTTTTAATGGTAAAAAAATATTGTCAATCAAATTTACATATTGGGATATCTTGATTTATTGAAATTATTGTCCAGCCCTATATAGATTTATATATGGATGTTTCTTTTAAACACATATATTTTATCTGTAATTTATTTGCTTACTGATTATTTTTTTGGGACTTGTGCTCTTTCTTTCAAGTTATAAACATTGTTATCTAGATGACAAATTTCTAAATTGTTGTTTCAGGATCCAAGAAGATTACATTATGAACCTTGGGAATTATTAGTATTTGAGAAGATTGAATGTCAGTGGCCATTGTTTTTCACATATTTTATATTAGATGGTCTGTTTAACAATAACAAAAATATGGTAAGATCGTAGTTGAATGATATCATCTCCTTCATTAATCACACAATCTGATTAAAACACAGATCATATTTCGTTTTGTGTTTTATAGTTCAAAATTTACTTTTACTTGTCTTTACTACACTAAGTTCTGGAAGAGTTGTTATATAACCCGCGTTCTGATTGATGTGAGGGATTAGCCAATGAAACGATCTATTACGGCGAGTTTTTGGTGTGAGGTGCATAGAACTGTGGGTAAACCTCTAGAAACGTTGATGCTGATCTCTATATATATTTGTGACTGTCGTTTGTCTGTCTGTCTGTCTGTCTGTCTGTCTGTCTGTCTGTCGGTCTGTTCGGGGTTGGCGGCTACACTAGGTCTGCCCCGAGTCTGAAATTTGGGGTAAAGGGGTAGCTCGGACCGGGGAGTAACATAGGCCAGGTGGCGTTAGTCTACCACTTCCGGTTTCGGAGTTATGACCCCCGAGCGAAGCCGGTCTGTTCGGGGTTGGCGGCTACACTAGGTCTGCCTCGAGTCTGAAATTTGGGGTATAGGGGTAGCTCGGACCGGGGAGTAACATAGGCCAGGTGGCGTTAGTCTACCACTTCCGGTTTCGGAGTTATGATCCCCGAGTGAAGCCGGGTATCCTGCTAGTTGGTTAATAAAACGTCTGACATCATAGAGTTAAAAGCCGCTTGTATGACCTCAGACGCCACCTCCCACTACAAATGGTCAGATCTTCATGTAGTGTAGGCCATTGATAGTAAAAAAAAAAAAATGAAATGAAATATAGATGTGTATTTTAATCAGATTGATTTCTTATTATGAAATTTAAATTTATTAATATGAAATTTCAACTTAAAATTAATAAATTAACAAAATAGTTAAGTTGAAATTTCATAAATTCTATCTCGTAGTTCATGAAAATTAAAGTTCAAGGTTTTGCATGTTTTGCAAGTTTTTACAACTTGATTATGGTTTAGCTTATTTTATGCTGTCATGTGTCAGCCTACATGGTAAATATTAATTATAGGTAGAAGAGTACAGACAAAAATTAGATGAAGTCATATTTAAATCAGAGGATGGTATACCAATGATACCAGAATTATTTTATGTACCAGCAGATAAGGTAAGAATGTATAACAAAGATAACAAGCTTACATTCTGTAGCAGCTGATTGGAAAAATGGTATGCCAATCATGCTAGCGTATAGTAGCTATAAAGATGGTATATAATATGACCAAATTCAACATGTGTTTTACTGTGTGCTTGATTGACAGAAGAGGGCAGAAGATTGAATCCAAGATAGTTTTTGTACCAACCTAACAATATGGTTCTTTTTTCTTTTTAAGTCAACTGGTGTGGTTTTGATTGCCCAGATGTAAGTGACAAGTAGTAGGGTCTGTCATTTAGTCAACTGGTGTGGTTTGATTCCCCAGATGTAAGTGACAAGTAGTAGGGTCTGTCATTTAGTCAACTGGTGTGGTTTGATTCCCCAGATGTAAGTGACAAGTAGTAGGGTCTGTCATTTAGTCAACTGGTGTGGTTTGATTGCCCAGATGTAAGTGACAAGTAGTAGGGTCTGTCATTTAGTCAACTGGTGTGGTTTGATTCCCCAGATGTAAGTGACAAGTAGTAGGGTCTGTCATTTAGTCAACTGGTGTGGTTTGATTCCCCAGATGTAAGTGACAAGTAGTAGGGTCTGTCATTTAGTCAACTAGTGTGGTTTGATTGCCCAGTTGTACATGTCATATGACAAGGAGTAGGATCTGTCCAACCTTGTGGGTTTTCTCCAGGTCCTCTGGTTTCCTCCCACTGCTAAAGACCGCTACATGCACTTGAATTATTGAAATAAAATTGAACCATGTGTTAGTACTGAAATGACCTGGTTTGTGTCGAGTGGACGTTAAACCCCATTTCTCTCTGTCTCTCTCTTTATCTTTTAAAATAGTATGACAGATGGTTATCATATAAAAATATCTTTTTTCTTTCATTTTAGGTTGAAGCAGAATACAAGAAACCCAACAGTCAGAAAAGATTAGCCACAGGGAAATTACCTCACATGTGGGGACAGTCTATGTATATATTAGGTCGTCTCATGTATGAGGTTTGTATATGTCTTTATATAAAACCTTGGGCACAGTCTATGTATATATTAGGTCGTCTTATGTAAAACGTGAACGTAAACTCGTTTTATTTTAAATCTAATAATATATTCAAACTATTGATTTGTAGGGATTTTTATCACCCGGTGAATTAGATCCGTTAAATAGACGTCTGGTAGCAGAAACTAAACCAGATATTGTTGTACAAGGTAAAATATTTCTTAATTATAATCTGAATTCAATTAACTACATACTTTTAAGGAACTTACCCAACATTAGTTTTTGAGGTACCATTGATATCCAACTTTCTTAAAATATTTGGGGGTTGGATGGTCGAATAGTTAGCGCATGCACGTTGTATCGTAAGGTCTGTCATTGAGTCAACTGGCATGGTTTCGATTCCCCGGTTGTACGTGACAAGGAGTAGGGTCGTCTGTCCAACCTCGGGTTTCCTCCCACTGTTAAAGACTTCTACGCGCAAGCGAATGATTGAAATAAAATTAAACCATATGTTTGTGTCGAGTGGTTAAACCCCATTTCTCTCTCTTGAAATGTTTGTTTTGATATAAAAATGATAATTAAATTTTGATCATTTCAGTTGTTATATTAGCTGAAGATACGTTGATAAGAGATAAACTAGCAGAACAAGGTATAGAAGTACAATCTGTTAGTGATGTACAACCTATACAAGTTTATCCAGCTAGAATACTTAGTCAGATCTATTCACTTCTAGGTAAGAAGCTTAAACATAATAACACAGGAACATGAAGAACAAGCCTGGAAATAAGGCACCGGTCACAGACAATGTCAGGCACATACTCAGGCTTTGTCAGACACAAAATCTTTGGTGCCTGTCATTTTGTCCGGCACTGATTTGTCTTTTTTATTGATATTATTAATACATGCCCGGCACTAACTTGAAAATGTCAGGTACTATTTCATTAGTGCCTGACATTTTCTCAGGTACATCTAAAACCGTTATTTCCAGGTCTGTTGAAAAATAAAAAACAATTTTAGATAAAAGTGTAGTAAATCATTGCATACCTGTAATCAATACATGTTAGAATAAACCAGTTTTATGGAAATTATTTTTGGGGTTGAAGTCCAAGTGACGAATTTGATGTAGAAGATAAGGCCTATTGCCTTTTTGAATTTTGATGTTACTGTGAGTTGGGTTGCATGGCTAGGTTTTTTTACAGTTAATCTGGATTCCTACAATCTGATTAAAATACAGATTTATATTTCGTTATGTTTTTTTATACTTTCGATGGCCTACACTACATGAAGATCTGATCGGTTGTAGTGGAAGATTGCGTCAGGGGTCATACGACCGGTTTTTGACCCTATGATGTCAGACTTTTGATTAACTAATCAGCGTTGACGTTTCTAATGGTTTACCCAAAGTTCCGTGCAACTCACGCAAAAAACTTGCCCTAACAGATGGTTTCATTGGCTAATCCATCCAGAAGTAAATTATTGAAGTAATTAGTGCTGAAATGACTCTATGTCTTTCTATTACAAGAGAACAGGTAAGAGCTTGCTAATCTGTTTCCGATTTTATCATAGTTTACTATTTATTTTATCAGGTAAAAATAAGAGACTTGGATTGAGTGGTCGAGCCTCAAGTGAGATTGGTCTCCTAGCAACCAGTAAACTTTATGTTCTTCACGATCAAATTTTTGCGTTTATTCCACAGGTAAGAATTCTCTATAAACTAAATTTTAACATTTTAAATTTCTCATGAAAATGATATTTCAAGATAAAGTTAACTTGAGACTATATTATAGCCAATTCGTTTTTAATTTGAGATTATTATTTTTAAGGGAATATGGTTTTAATTTTAGATAATATTTTTATAGCTTTATCTTATTATATATTTATTATTATTGCCTCTATATGATGATTTTAAACTGGTAAAACATGTCTATATCATTATTATCCAGCATGTGCTCCCTGGCTTAAATTCATAACATAATTCACTTGAGGCTGGTGTCCAATTATTTATCATTTTGTAGTTTTAGTGTAAATCACAATTAATTTTCATAGATGTCGAAATGATTTTTAAAATCTTTTTTTTTGTCTATTTTCAACATTGGACTCATGACATTAGTTTAATTATGCAATTAAACACTTTGATTAATTTATATGGCGGACAGAAACAGTTGTCTAATATATTATTAATCATGTTAAAGCTGAACTACAGAAATCATTAAATGAAAATAGTTAACGTCCTAAACAGTCGCCATACTTGTTTTCAATTTGTGAAACAAACATGGCAAATGTTTAAGGCATATAAAAGCAAAGGCAGGCCATGCCCACGTCCAGTATAGTGAAAAAACCCTCAACCAGTCGAGCGTGTGGTAGTTGAAATTTAGCAAGCCGGATGTGCTCACTGTGTTTGACAGGGCATATACTGGATGTGGGCGTGGCCTTCTATCTTATACCTGTCCTTAGTCGCCATGTTTGTTCTACAAATTGAAAACAAGTATGGCGACTGTTTAGGGCGTTATCTTTTTTTATTTAAATATTTCCATAGTTTTGTAATTGGAGTTCAGCTTTAATGCTATGTATCATTATTGATAAGCGGAAAAAAATGGATGGACCCTATGCATATTCATTACTGCATTAATAAATTTTGAGCAAGCTGATAGATTAAAATGGACAAGTTACACAAATAACCATGCAATTAATCAGAATGGCATATCATAGAAATATTAATGCTTTAAACTTAAATCATTTGAAACAATGCAAAAATATGGCATGATTAATGTTATTAGCTAGATATTATTAAAATACAGATATGATGTCATCCTTTGATGTTGGCGTACCATTATTTCAAATAATGGTACAGGCAACTTGCCAATCGTACATTCCAATCTCATGGGTGTTCACTGGGTCCTCCGGTTTCCCCCACTGCTAAAGACCCCAATGTGCAAGCGAATTATTGAAATAAAATTGTGTTAGTCCCGAAATGACCTAGTTTGTGTCGAGTGGACGTTAAACCCCATTTCTCTCTCTCTAATCGTACATTATTTATACTAGTGAAATATATCGATTTTTTGTTGGGTCCAAATTCATAATAATTCAATCAATTTTTAAAACTCAAAGGGATTGTTCGTTGGGGTTTTGGTCAGAACCCTACTGAATTTCAAAATTTCCAGATTGTAAAGTTGCAGCGTTTTCTCTGAATTTGTCAGGTGTTGTTTTATTCCCCTGCAGGATTTGTAGAGGTAGTAGGGTCGATCTTGCTGCTGGTGGGATCTGACAGCTCACATTACTTAATTGCGTACATGTATTACATTTATATCGGGGCAAGGGGATGGCAGAAAGGTTAGCATGTGCGCGCTGTATCTTAAGGTCAGTCAATAGATATCATTTAAATTTGTGGGTTTGGAAGGATTAATAAAAAAGATTTTTTTAGGATTTGTGACATGTGTTTCAGTGGTCAAAATTTGTTTGACATTTTTTATACGCCCACATTGAAATGTGGTCGTATATATTGTCGTCGCCCCTCGTCCGGCGTCCTCAATTGCTTGTGGACGCTCTAGAGGCTAAAGTAAATATCCGATTGACTTTAAATTTATACACAGTGTTTAAGGTCATGAGACGAAGAAGCCTATTGCTTTTCAGCGATTTCCGATAAATACTGCCCGAGTTATGGCCCTTGATCACTTCAAAATATCTTGTGCACGCTCTAGAGGCCAAAATTAATATCCGATTGACTTTAAATTTATACACAGTGTTTAAGGTCGTGAGATGAATTTCAGCAATTTCCGATAATTACTGCCAGAGTTATGACCCTTGATCACTTCAAAATAACTTGTGGATGCTCTAGAAGCTAAAGATAATATCCGATTAACTTCAAATTTATACACAGTGTTTAAGATCATGAGACAAAGAATCCTATCAACTATTTCTGATAATTGCTGCCAAAGTTATGGCCCTTGATCACTTTGAAAAATCTTGTGACTGTCTAGAGGCTAAAGTTATCATCCGATTGACTTCAGATTGATACACAGAGTTTAAGGTCTTGAGATGAACAAGTATATTGATTTTCAATGAATTTTGATAACTTAAACAGTTAAATCCATGATATTAAATGTTTCGTATACTAAACGTTAGCATGGGGCAGAACTTTATAAAAACCAAACAAATTCTAATGGTTTTCTGATAATTACTTAATGAGTTGTTACTCTTAATCGGATTTTAGTGTATTATGAATGTTTCATTACTGAAAAAAGTAAAAATATGCGACAACTTTTGTTGACTGCCTGGACGATTTAGCTGCTGTGGCGTATGTTTCGTTGCCTGGCAACCTATTTTTTTTATTGAACAGCTGAATCGTTTTATTAAGATTTAAAGCATGTATTATATTTGAAAGATCCAGTAGGAATGTTATTGTCGCTTGAAGGATTTAGAAACCCTTGGAAACCACAATATTGTGAAAGTTGACTCCCTGCCTAGTGGACGTTAAACCCCATTTCTCTCTCTGTGTTAGATAATGGAGTACAGTGTCACAGTGTGTAGGGGTGGGGCAGGGACAATTTAAGGGGGAAATCGTACAGATTTTCCACCTTTTCTCTTGACCCGTTTGAAGGATTTTATCAAATATGAACTACTAATTATCAGAAACACTAATCGGTAATTAAGCAGACAAATTCTCGTCTGTTTTTAATTTGGCACATTTCTTTAAAGAGACCATCCTGATTTTAACAGTCTCAGAAATAAAAGTCTGTGTACGTATGAAATTTAAACGCCAAAATGGTGTAATTACCTTGTCTCAAAATTCGAACGTGAATGTCAAAATCGCTTATCTGGACACGTAACCCTTCTAAGACTTCGGGTCAATAGTTTCGTTTGGTGACCTGATAATCTATTGCCGTTCCTTTAGAGATCTTTATAGTACATTTCAACTAGACGTCATTTTTATGAAATAAGTCTGGTTTTATCCAGACACCGTATAATACGACTTTGAACACCGGTCTCCATTTCCACTGACGGGATAAAGTTGTTTGAAAACGTATCACATATATTGAGTTAGTTGCTCAGCCCTAAGGTAGTGGATTTTAAGGGCTTTTAACACAAAATTAAGCAGTTTCATTCCCCAAAATATGATCGAGATTGGCCCTTTAAACTTGAATGATCATACATCCATTATTTTTGCTCAGTTTCAGTCTATTTACATATTTTGCTTTTTTTCTACCATTTTTTTCTGGTTTTGATTATGTATGAAATCAGCAATGATTGAATCTATTATAACTAATTTATTTTTTACCATAAAATTTAATATTATTAAAATGATCTCTATGTAATTAGAGATTTAATTTAAGGTGTTCTATATTCTGTCTTCAGTTTATCGATCAGAATCAGTTCTATCTGCCATTGGATCTAGATTTCCTCATCGATCATTCGAACAATGATGTGGAATATTTGTCTCGTAACTGGCGGATGTTGGGACGACCGACTATAATCTTTCCTTTAGCAGATACCATGTTAGGTGTGATTTTGCTTTTTAAGATACTCTTCTCCATTCGCTTCCTTCCTGCTTTTACTAGCAAAACACTTAATATTTATTTTCTGCTATGTTAATATATTTTGCCATTGTTGCCCAGTCTGTTTGCATGGAGATACCTTTCTTTAATATTTATGGATAAACCTTTTACCACTCGATCGATTATTAATTATCAATCTGATTTAAATACAGATCTATATTTCGTTTCATTTTTTTATACTTTCGATGGCCTCTATTACATAAAGATCTGACTAGTTGTAGTGGGAGGTTGCGTCAGGGGACGTACGAGCGGCTTTTGAACCTATGACGCTCTACATTGATTAATCAATCAGCTTTGACATTTCTAGTGGTTTACCCAAAGTTTCGTGCACCTCACTGTAACAGGCTGTTTCATTGGCTAATCCCTCAAATTATCCAGAATGCCGGTATAACAACTCTTCCCGATCCTAGTGTAATAAAGACAAGTAAAACAAAATTTTGAACTATAAAAAACGAAAATGAAATAGGATCTGTGTTTTAAGCAGATTGATTAACTATGAAGTAAGTTCTCTCAAAAAGGTTTTGGTTAAATATAAAGGGAATGAATAATAACATACACTATTTTATAGGATTAATTATATAATTATTAACTTTATAATTATGAATATTGCATGAATGTATCCCCTGTTATACGTAATGGCTTATGATTGTATTATAAATATCTGTCCACTAAATATTATGTGATATACCGGTATATGGTAATGAAAGAAATAAACACATGAATCCAACAGCTATTTGCATATTGCTATGTAGATACTTCAGGCAAAACATATGTATAAAACGTTTTCTTTGCTAGAAATCTTTAAGCAATAAAGACTGGCACATTTCATCTTCCTGCATTTGTCTATTTACTTCAGCTGTGAAATCAAAAAAAAAAAAAAAAATAACAGTTGTATACCCTCTCTGAATTTTTTTTTCAGTTCACAAACATGATTTCTCTTATATTTTGTTTTAGCAAGTTTAGTTTTCATTTAGTTTGTACCAATGGCTGAGAATATCGAACTAACAATAACATAATACTTACAAGTCATTTATTAATCTTTTTAATTCACCATCGATTCATGTATAAACCTTACGCGCATGTTTATTTGCTCACAGTTTATGGATCAACAGAGATTCTACATGGCCCTCGATACCAACTTTATGCTTGATTTTCTGCGAACTGAAATAGCCTACTTAAAAAGCAGCTGGAAAGGGTTAGGGCGTCCAACACTGACTGTCACGGTAACACATGCATTAATGGGTAGGTGACAACATTGTCTTCAGAAATCAGAATAAATTAAAATGTTGTTTGTGATTTTTAGGTACCGGTACATGTACATAATTTATTGTCTCCCGCCACTCAAAGAAAACATGAGACTATTAAAATGGCTTTGTTCTTCCGTCTGTCCTGTTTGTCATGTTTGTCATTTTTTGGAACACAGTAACTCTTGTTTCTAATTGAGGTAGACTGTTTATACTTGGTGGAGATGTTTATTAAGTGGGGAGGAGTGGATGGCCAAATGGTTAGCTTGTGCACGTTCAATCATAAGGTCTGTCATTGAGTCGACTGGCATGGTTTTGATTCCGCAGTTGTAGATGACAAGGAGTAGAGTCGTCTGTCCAACCTCGTGGGTTTTCTCTGTGTCTTCCAGTTTCCTCCCACTGCTAAAGACCCCTACGTGCAAGCGAATTATTGAAATAAAATGGAACCACATGTTAGTTCCGAAATGACCTAGTTTGTGTCGAATGGACATTAAACTCCATTTCTATCTCTCTATTAAGTGAATGCCTTGACTGAGCTTTGATTCTAATTGCGTGAGAGTGAAGGAACTTTGTGTACATCAGTTTGATAACGAACATTTTCTGCTCAGGTTAAACAATGATTAGTAACTTGATTGGTTACGACTTTGGAATATGATTAAGCTCGATGCTGAGGATTTTCTGTTTAAAATAGCTAGGGAAAAGCAATTTAATTGCACGATGCTGTACATATATGTCATCTATTTATTTTAGGATTGAGATGGGCGACATCAGCCTCACTGTTGGCTTGTGTAAATTAATAATTAATAACCTTGTATTGATGTAAACATAAACTGCACTGTCTGCACATATATCACCATTTGTTATACGTCGTCGTCATTAATGTTTCCGTCATTCAAGAAAATACCTGTGCGAATCTGTAAATTTGTACAATTTTAATCGAAAACTTTCCTCAGACATTATGTGTATCTTCCTTACCTCCTAACAGTTTATTTATACAACATCTTAACTACATGCATGTCTCATTTGCTTCTCTTGTTAGAGGCTTTCTTTTTATTTCTATAATGAAGTCAATAGTACCCATTTCAATAGGATAGTCTATCAAATAACTTTAAATAGATTCTCATAAATTCATGAATGATGCATATTGACTATCATGTCTTGTCTAAATTAACTCTTTTATCTTAATTTCAATACCAAGAAAATTGTTTACGGTACTTAATTAATGATTTAACTGATAAGATACAATAGAGGTAATCTATATATCTATTACCCGTCAGATTGTTTTGGTATACAAATTATTTCTATTGCTGTTTATTTTTAAATTCAGATTAGCTTTTGGTATATATATATGCCTATATTTAGTTTTATTTTTATTATAAATTTCACTATTGTTGCTTCAGTACGGTTCTGTTTTCACATATTCTCTATCTCGATGTTGTATTTAACATTTTTTAAAACATTCAAGCAAATTCAGTAAATATATATTTTAATTTATGTAAGTAAACTCTGGAATTCATTTTAATTTATTCTACCATTTAATAACGATTTAAATGAATCATAAAATTAGAATAATTAACTTATTAGACATTTTTGAATTTATTTTGTTATTGGTAGGAGGATATTGATATAACTGAGTGTAATTTAAAGGTGATGAAAATCCATGTCTTTTCTTTAACCTACGAAAAAACCAATTCTTTTTAAATGACTACTCTGGTATTTTTCCTTCATGGGATTTAGGCCAAATAACGTGCTATTTTGACTGGTATTAAAGCAGACATTGTTTTCTTTTCTACTTGCAGTTTTGTTTTGGCTCAAACTGTCTACTGAAAAACAGTATCACTAATATTTTACAATTAACTTGTTATGTGGACCTACTATTGTTAATGTACCTGATATGTGCAGAACAACTGTGCTCATCAAATTTGATGGAATCGAAACCTAATTTTAATACTAAATTTTATGATATCTTGATAAAATTTTTATCCATACATGTACTTGAAAATGTCACAATACTAGGCCTATCTGGGTTACGTAAATTTGACCATAAATAGGCTCCTTATAATCACTGTAAAGTTACAAATATTATGGTAGAGAGATTAAATGTTCTGGATATGTTCACTAATGTTAAGATGCCTGTATGGGAGACTAACAGAGTAGTCATTTAAATAGGTTAGAGATCATCCTTGCTATCCCAAGTGGTCTCACTCCACCCCACTCCACTAACCTGTGACTTTTAATATTTAAATAGGTTAGAGATCATCCTTGCTATCCCAAGTGGTCTCACTCCACCCCACTCCACTAACCTGTGGCTTTATCCATGGGTGGGACATGTATTCAAATTATCTGCCCTTGATGATAGTGCTATTTTTATCAACCAATCCCATAAAAACACAAAGGCTCCCCTTCAAGAGACATATTTAGGAAATGGCCAGAAGGTAGCCTAATTCTCCTCAAGCAAAAAATGAAAGAAGGTCAAATTGCACTAAATGTGTATTTATTAGCAACAAATTACAATAATTATTTAATATATCAGTAAAACTCGGACCAGACCAGGCCAGTGAGAGTACCTTCGCCGATTGAACTACTTACGTAGACAAAACGCAATCACACTCTAGCAAGTAGAAGTTCAATAATAATAACATAACAGAATGGTAACGGTTTATGAAACATTTCAGACTAAAAAAGGATGGTAATAATTATAACAAAAGTGAAACATATACATATTTGAAATCAGCGAAACATACTACAGATTTTGATAATATAATAAAATATGATTTACATAAATCATTCAGTAAATGGACATGAATAGGGTTATCTACCCTTACAAAAAACGAATACGAAACAAAGGCTGTTTCATTAGTTTGTGAATGTTTTCTGATTGGTTCGTAGACTTAAGCTACAATCAAGTCCACAGCAGATAATTTGAAATTGTGGAAACCCTATAAATTAACCCAGGGTATAGTGAAGTAGAACGGAATGAGACCATTGTTGATTTCGAGGAAGGTTAGACATGGGACAGAAAAGTGGCCATTTTTTGTTACCTCTATACTTCATTTCTTTATGCGGTATTATAATTGTTTTTAATTGAATATAGATAATCATAAGGCACCTCCTACCACACTGATAGCAACAATTAAAAAATTACAAAGTGGATACATAAATGGTACAAGGTAAGTAGACATGACTGGATTAACATTTCTTATTTGAGGCGTTCATATATCTAACAAACTGTTGTAATTTAACAATCTGATTAAAATACAGATCTATATCTTGTTTCATTTTTTTTTTGTATCTTTCGATGGCCTACACTACATGACGATCTGACCGGTTGTACTGGAAGGTCACGTCAGGGGTCGTACGAGTGGCTTATGACCCTATGACATCAGACATTGATTAATCAATCAGTTTTGACGTTTCTAGTGGTTTACCCACAGTTCTGTGCATTGCACATCAAGAACTCGCTGTAACAGACCGTTTCATTGGCTAATCCCTCACTTCAACCAGTACACTGGTAATATAACAACTCTTCCAGATCCTAGTGTAGTAAAGACAAGTAAAACAAAATTTTAAACTATAAAGAAACGAAATAAAATATGATCTGTGTCTTAATCCGATTGGTGTATGCTAATGTTTTTTTTAGAATACCACTTCAGGCCTTTACAGTTTTATATCCTCCATTCAATGAATCTTATTGACCAATTACCTTTTAATTTTGTTTCTTGCTAGATTTTAACAATAATGTCACTTTTTTTAGAGTTCACTTAGGAAAATTGGAAGAATTTTTAACAACATCTTGTGTGACTAAACTTAGTTTTGTCCGTGATTTAGATGATCCCTATCAAGGTAGATTTGATTTTATTACTACTGCTAGTCTCTTTTCGGCCTCTGTACAGTAGGACGTTAAACCCCATTTCATTTCTTATTTTAGAAACAACTGGACCCTTGAACCTCAGTATGTGAGCCCTCTACATGAGCCATGACCAAATATTTACAATGTTACAAACCAACCAAAGGCACTTCAATCTAAACGATCTGTTGTCAATCCCGGTACAACCACGCTAAGCGAGCTACCAACCCTGGTAACAAATTCGCAAACCCCGTCAAGAGGCCAACCCTGGTAACCCCTCCAATTAGTAACCACACAGGTTTCGGAAAAGTATAAATAAAAAGCCTGCCGCATGAGTGGAAGAGTGGAATACGAACAAAACTAGTCAGTGATACCTGGAATAACCAGGTCTTTAAGCCACTCTTATCTCTTACATTAACAATCCGATTAGGATCCGATCTGCTGCTCAACTTTCATTCATGATTAAAGCATGAAATGGATAATCAAGACTATGTTCTTTATCGTACCGACTTTAGTAATGATGATCGAGGCTAGGCCATAAATTCAATCGCTAAATTCTTGGTTCAGACTGGTTCAATTTTACTAAAATTTTCAGCAAATTCCCTTTACATTATCTAGTTTTTAACTATTATAGTGAGAACTGTCAGCTCTTTATCTAATCTTACATAATGTATCTTTAACTTTGCTGTCTTTAAGTTTGTATTCTAATTTCCTCTAGGTGAAGATCAAGTTATTCGATTTATGGATAAACTGATGAGTCCAACTTGTCCGAGACCACGTCTACTTTCGCATTCAAAAAAAGGTCGAAGTTTAGGGATCAGAAGCAAGAGATCAAACTCTGTACATGGTATTGTGAAAAGGTCAAGATCGATTCAGATTGATCCTGACCAAGCGGCAGGTAGGAACTATAAATTATTATAGTACCAGTACATTCTAATGTCATCAAATTAACTTACTCTCATAATGTGTGACTATTGTTGTAACTCGCAGTTAAATGTAAATTTTGAAATATTGGATCATAAACATCCCAGTTTTATCTCTTCCTCCTTGAGTATAATAATTGTTGTATAACGGAACACAGAGTGCTTGATTAGAATTAATTCATTTATATTAATGTAGTGATAGATTACCTCAATTTAGTAAATGTTGTAAAAATATTGTGTATATCGTCACGTTTCTGGCGAACCGACGAATCTGATATATTTAAAGTATTGAGAATTATTTGGTGGCTACAGAGATAACAACAAAACGCAAATTTCAAACCCGTAATTCTCAATACTTTAAATATATCAGATTCGTTGGTTCGCCAGAAACGTGACGATATAATGTACCTTATTCTGATTAAATATACTTCTATCTGAATATGTATGAAGAATTTTCATTTTTAATTTTACAAATTGATTGCTTCTGCGTCACATTATAAATAGATTATTAGTATTAGAATCACGAAGCTTCTAAATTTCCAAAGTATATAAATTAAATTATGCAGTAAAATTTTGCTTAGATATTCAGATATTTATTAACCTTTTAAATGATTTTAATTATGTTAGTTTTAGAATAGGAATATTTAATATTGCAAATTTAGTTTTACTAATCTGAAAACTTTTTGTTGTTTTGCATGGACGTTACCACTCGATGCATATTCTTGCTAATACAAGCTAGTATATCTATTTCTGATCAGCTGGTCAACATGGATTAAAATCATGTTGTACCAAATCTTTTCCTCCGGCCACATTTCTCAGAAATAATCATGATAGAAATCTCCAGATATTAATCACTTCCTTTTCTTTAAACTACGGTAGACAGGGAAATGTGTGTAAGTTTTCCGTATTCAATGAGTTGTAAGGTTTGTTGTGTATTTTATCTAAAGATATTCAAAGTCATCTGTTAGAACGAACAGCATCCCAAGGTAGGTGACTAGTGATAACTGTGACAACTTACAGCATTCAATCACTTCATAAATTCTTTAAAGGGACCATCCCGATTTTAACAGTCACAGAAATAAAGTCTGTTTACGTATGAAATTTAAACGCCAAAATATACAGGAATGGTGTATTTACCTTGTCTCAAAATGTCAGCTCAAAATATTGAGTCGCTTATCCGGACACGTAACCCTTTTATAGATTTTGGGTCAATTTTTTTCGTTGCGTAACCTGATAATCTATTGCCGTTCCTTTAGAAGTCTATACAGTGTATGACCCACGTGCTGTACTTGACAATGAAAAGTAAATTTCACCTATTTTTATAAAATAAAAGTTTTATCCAGATACAGCTTGGGTCACCGGTCTCCATAAAAAGACTGACGGGTTTAAGTTGGTTGAAAATGTATCGCATATATTGAGTTAGTTGCTTGATCCTAAGGTAGAGGATTTTATTAGCTTTTAACTCAAAATAATGCCGTTTTATTCTCCAACATATAATCGAGATTGGCCCTTTAATTAGGACTAAATATACAATGTATTGACAGCACAGTCTAAATTATTGTATAGTACATTAGTGGGCTTATTCATTCGTGTTTTAAAATTCAAATCTTTGCACGCTGATTTAGATATAGAATGTATTGACAGCACAGTCTAAATTATTGTATAGTACATTAGTGGGCTTATTCATTCGTGTTTTAAAATTCAAATCTTTGCACGCTGATTTAGATATAGAATAGATAGAAATCACATTTTTGGCTTTTTAATTTTGACACACATATTCATTGATTAAGTAAGAATTGATTAAAACACAGATCCTATTTCGTTTTTTTTTTTGTTATAGTTCAAAATTATGTTTTATTTGTCTTTACTACACTAGGATCAGAAAGAGTTGTTATATAACCCGCGTTCTGGTAGATGTGAGGGATTAGCCAATGAAACTTCTTGGCGTGCGATGCATGGAACTGTGGGTAAACCACTAGAAAGTCAACGCTGATTGATTAATCAATGTCTGACATCATAGGGTCAAAAGCCGCTCGTACGACCCCTGACGTGACCTGCCACTACAACTGGTCAGATCTTCTTATAGTGTAGGCCATTGAAAGTATAAAAAAATGAAACGAAATATAGATCTATATTTTAATCAGATTGAATAAGTAAGGGGTATTAATACATCAATGTGGTTGTCTACCCAGATTTTTTGCGAATGCATTCTGGACAAAAATACAGAATTAATTATTGATTTGAAGTGATAGAATCAATAGATTGCTTGAGAATACTTTTAGCTGGGGTGATTTAAGCTATACTTTCATACTCTTGGTTAATGCCCACTTTGAAATGTGCCCATATATTTTCGTTGGTCCGTCAGTCTGTGAGTTTGTCATTCACAAGGGCTAAAGTTATCATCTGATAGACTCAGTGTTCATGTTCATGAGACACAGAAGTTACCAAATTATTTGAAATTTATACACAATGTAGCCTAGTGATATTCAGTGGTTTCCAATAATTACTGCCAGAGTTAGGGCCCTTGATCTTGTGGATGCGCTGGAGGCTAAAATTTGTACACATTTGATATTTTCAAATGACGCCGGAGGAAATTGATTTTCAATGATTACCAATAATTGCCCTGGACAAATCTGAAAAACTTTATCCATTTTTAAAGTCTTTTTTTACCATATGGCTAAAGTTATTTTCCGATTGATTTGAAATTTGTTTGGTTATCAAGTATTTCCGAGATTATATCCAACAACCCCTGTCGACCTCTCGGATGACATAGCTGGTGTGGCCGTATGGCAACCAATCTTTATAATGTGTGAATATCTTAATTTATCTGTCTCTTGACTTTATTTGCTGTAGATCTACTGTTTTTTCTATTAATAATAAAATGGAGAAAAAAAGCTGTCCTATCTTAAAAACAACTCTTAAAACATCAATACAGCATGCTGTTTGGAGTCTAAACCCAGGTGTATTTATGGGGATAAATAAACCAGGCTCTTGGATATAAAAAGAGATTTGATTTTTTTTTTTCTGCGATATTACCTCGGTGGGGGACGTTAAATAAAGCTATTTCACACACACACACAATATTTTATTGTTAGAAAAGGATTGAGGAATTACGTCTCACCTAGATTTGATTGTAGTTAGAGAGTGTCACAATAACATGTATATATAATAGCATGTTACACAATATTATTTTATTCTTGATACACTAACACAATCACTACTGCTTTATGCATGAAAATATGCTACCAACAAAAATATTGTCTTCCTCTTCAACAAGACATGCACAGGTTTATAATGACAGTACAAGATAATATTATACAGGGCTTATTTTAACGTGCCTCTCGATAAAAAATCAGTGCTTTGAAAATCTGAAATCCGTGCTTTGAAAAAATGTAGTCTTGTGAATCTGGCAAGATTGTATGTGGAAACTTAGCTATAATTATGATCATCGACCACTTTCGATTTCTGTTTCAAAAGTTTTGTATTGTTGACATATTCCCACCACCACCTAAGGCACGAAAAAGTATCAGGTGCATGTGACTGTGAAGGTTCGTTTTCCTTTGGATGTTTCTTTGGACTGTTGATGATACTGCCACATGGTTATAAATGTATCACTAAGCTGGAATTATTAGTGAGCATAAATTCTGTTATCACTCGTCACTCCAGTCAGTTATAATGAGGGATAACTGGTGCTTTCCTTTTGCGTTTGTCACTTCCATTTCTTGAACCATTTCTATCACATATGTGATATTGACTGACACCAATATTGTCCTTTAAAGCGAGCGACCATATTTCAGTGGCAGATCCAATTTAGATTTCACATACAGACTAATCTTGTAAATCAAGTCAAGTCTTAACAAATTAAAAATTATTTTAGTATCAACCACAATCCTGGTAATGAAACCCAGAACTAGCTCAAACAAAAAGATTTGATTTTAACAAACCAGTTGTGCATTTGGTCCAGTGGTCTAGCACATGTAAGCCAATTATTGAAATAAAATTGTACCATATGTTAGTCCCGAAAGTACCTAGTTTGTGTTAAGTGGACATGAAACCGCATTTCGCTATATATCTCTCTAGAAGTAGAGTCGTATAATGATTAATGATATGTTGGCATGGTAACATTGGAACTTATAGATGATTTAAGTATGGAGAGCCACGGTGGCTATGTGAGTTACACACAGGCTCGCTACCCTGGAGGTCAAGGGTTCGCTCTGGGTGTTGGCTGAGAAAGTTCATTGGGATTCTCCGATGTGGTTTCCCCTCGTCAGTGGTGCAGGAGGGAGGGTCTGATAAGGACAGCTGTCTAGTTGTTTCGGATGGGACAAAAACCTGAGGTGCAATGTATACATTGGCTTGCACGTTCAACCTCGTGGGTCCTCCAGTATCCTTCCACTACTAAAGACCCCTACACACAAGCGAATTATTCAAATGAAATTGAACCATGTGTTAGGGTGTCTAGTTGTTGGGATGGGGCGAAAAACAAGGTCCTGTGTATACATTGCCGTGCATGTGAAAGATCCCTTGGCAGTTGGTATTCGATATAAGAGTAGGCCATAGTGCCACTGCCCGTCAAAATTTCCCTCATAGCACACTTTATAGCGTATGCCCGTCTTCATACCCAATTGGAGCAGAACAGTAGGACATTAAACCCCATTTCATTTCATTTCGATTTAAGTATGAGATTTATTAAGGCATGACATCCTTGTAAATAACATAACTGAAATAGAGTTGAGAATGTTTGGATTTGGTTTTAACTACTTTCATATATTATGCATGAAAACTACTACTGGAAAATGTTTAACTAACACTGAACACTTTTAACCTCACAGCAACAATATATAACTTCACTAATAAATCTATGACTAGGATTTTAGATTTGGAATTCTTCTAACCTGTTTTAATAATTAGTGTTAATTAATAATACAGCAGGTGTTGGATTCTAATTATGGAATATTAATAATTATTTTATAATACTGCATTTGACAGATGAAATAAACTGTTTTACATGAAATGGCATTTGTGTTAAAAACTCCCTCATGTTCAAATTTTAAATGTAAGCTTACAGTTTGGTGTTTTAAAACAATAATTTGTATTTTTTTTTTTAACATTACTTATATATAATTCTTGACAGATGGAAATGGTAATGAAGCGCCACTGTCCCCAGGATTAAATTCTCCCACAGACGGTAGGAACCAATATTCCCCTTTCATGATTATGATTCACATAAAGCTTCTCAATCAAACTTTTCATGTTAAATTCTTATGTTACAAAATTAACCAGTTGACTAGATTCTTTTTTAAAAGTATGTCATAGGATTTGTTACATCTGATCGAGGAAGCAAGCAAGACACCAATAATTGCCTTGTACTGTTGGTCTGCTTATATCTCTGGTGAAGTGAAATGAATACCTTATTTGTTCAATGAATAAAAAAGGACCTGGTTCAGTCATCATACAGGCATTTATTGTTGGTACATATACAGATAAAAACATTTTCCTATTTTATGCATTACTTTATATATAGAGTCTTGCTTTTATTTATTTTATCAAAACATATGTATATATTCTATTCTTTTACATTGTTGAATACTTCATGCCTTGTTCCGTGGGGGTAAGGTGGAGGTGCGGTGTGAATGGCCTAATGGTTAGCCATTTCCTCCCACTGTTAAAGACCACTACGTACAAGCAAATTATTGAAATAAAATTGAACCATAAGTTTGTCCCGAAATCTCTGTTGTTATAAACTAGGTACCATATGAAAACGAGGATCCAAATTGAAATAGATATAAAAGCCATGCGGTTTTGACCAAGACAACATAGGTACCGAGTTAAACTGCTCCATCAATATATTCCCCGTTATTGACATTACGCTAACTAAATTGGATTGAAGTATTCAACAATGGTTCTACGACCGTTTTTGCCTGGTTTATATTCAGCCATTTATTGTATTTGTAAATTACTTGTAAGATGATTGGGGGGTTGGATGGTCGAATGGTTAGCACGTCATTGAGTTAACTGGCGTGGTTTCGAATCCCTGGTTGTATGTGACAAGGAGTGGGGTCGCCTGTCCAACCCCATGGGTTTTCTTCGGGTCCTCTGGTTTCCAACCACTGCTAAAGACCCCTACGCGCAAGCGAATTATTGAAATAAAATTAAAACCATATGTTAGTCCCGAAATGACCTAGTTTGTGTTGAGTGGACATTAAACCCCTATTTCTCTCTCTCTGTAAGATGATATAAAAACTTGTCTAATAGGCCTGGCCTAACAATAGTCACAATCAATTTTGATCATGATTGAATCAGGAATTTATCACATATAAAAGATTGTTAAATGCATGAAATAAAGTAGGCAAAACGGTCGATTTATATCGTCGTCTGTAATAAATATATGGCATAGAATTCGTGAATTTACTATAAGGCTTGCTGAAATGTCATATTTTTTTTAGACTATAGTATAGTAGTATTTTGTTTATTAGAGTTATGCAATGTAAATATATATTAAATATTTTATTATATCTTATTGTAAATTGTTCCCTAGGTCTTTCCTATACTTATAGCTCTTACGTATTAGTTATGTTTAGTAAAATATCTCCAGATAAAACGCATGTACGGTAAGATATGCAAGATATTTTATTAATATGTTTTACCCATCTTTCATTCTAGAAATCCATCATATATTACATCTGAAGACATCTACTCCAAATGTACTGAGTCCAGAACCAACACCTCCAACTAGTCCTAATCCTTCCAGATCACACCGTAAACATCTGTCAAGTTTATCAGAAAATCATAATCATCATGAACATATTAATCCCCAGGAACTAGTCGATAGTTTATCACATACAGAGAATTTAAATGAACAAGCAGACATTATCCACTATTTGTTTATGACAATGTGAGTTTAACTTAAATATAAAAGTTTTGAATCGAGTATTACATAGTTGGCGAGATCCGTCGTTCCTGGAGTTTTACGTCCACTTCCACCAAGGGTGATGTCGTAAACAAATCTTCGTGGAGGTGGTTTGTGGAGGATTAAATAGCTGGGGAGGCGGGTGGTCAGGTATTAAATAGTCAGGGAGGTGGGTGTCGGGTATTAAATAATCTGGGAGGTTGGTGGTCAAGTATTAAATAGTCATGGAGGTTGGTGGTCGAGTATTAAATAGTCAGGGAGGTGGGTGGTCGACTATCAAATAGTCGGGGAGGTGGGTTGTAGAGTATAAAATAGTCAGGGAGGTAGGTGGTTGAGTATTAAATAGTCAGGGAGGTAGGTGGTTGAGTATTAAATAGTCAGGGAGGTGGGTGTTTGGGTATTAAATAGTCGGGGAGGTGGATGTCTATTGCTTTGTAGACAGTACTTTACAGATGTCTTCTCGGCGTTGGCAGAATTACATAGGATCTTGATGATCCAAAACTGACAGAATGAATAATCCTTGAATCAGTATAATCCCATGTGGTAATAATCCACAAAAATAATGCTAAACTTAGATTATAACAGAAAGAGAATTTCTCTCAAAACAGCACAATAAGTGCAAAAGCACAAAATGGCAATAAATTGAGAACACAGACCACGTGGGTCAAATATAAACTTACGATAAACGTGGAGTTCTGTATGAAGTGCTAAGAAAATCCTGTTCTCGAACTGGTCTGATCCGGCTTATTTAGAGGTAATATTGATGTCAAAATTGCTTTTAAATGTATATTTTGTTATATAAATGATTTGATTGCAGGGGTATTGATTGTTTTTTTTATAATTACAGGGGTATTGATTGTTTTTTTTATAATTACAGGGGTATTGATTGTTTTATAATTACAGGGGTATTGATTGGGATACTAAATTAGATGATAAACAATGTACAGTTAAAGAATTATTAACAGAACTCTATGAAAAGGTATGATTATAAATCATTTACCATAGTCAATACATTGTCATTGAGTCTTCCTAACAGGTGCTTGTAATTCCTGGCTGATTGAAACCATTACATATACATTGCAGGGGTCTTAATGTAATTTTAAACAAAGTGGCCAGAATTGGGTCAACAAGGTCTCCGGTAGGAAATAGGGTAATTAAAAGCTCCCGTTAACTTTAAAATAATCAGACTTCAACATATTCTAATGTATGTGATTACCACAAAAATAATGACAAATAGGTACACCCTTTGAAAATTTTCCACATTTAATTTATGTACGTTGCTGTAGCCGACAAGCAAGTTGATTGACTACTTAATTAACTGATGTAATTTAACTGAAAGTAGATTGATTATTTATGATACCATAGTGGCCGGTTCATTGTTTTATCAATCGGCTTGATTGAACTTCAAGTGGCTAAAGCCGACAAAAAACATCCGATTGAGAACTATGGTACATTGTACATAAATATTTTCAATTTGGTCAAATTATATTTCTAGGCTGGTCATTGGAAACAATGGTGGTTGGTGAGACATACAGCTGGTATGTTGAAAAAACGAGTTGAAGATTTAGCATTGGTATGTGGAGTAGCTCACACAACTTGATACACATAAAAATACAATAATATAAAAAATATAAGATACCTACATGTATATAGTAAATGCAGTGGGACTGCATCACACATAATTTACACAATAAACAAATATACAGACAAGACATATTACGCCCGAAATCACAAACAAACGTACAATTCAAATAAAGTGAATAGATCCGGGGACTAGCCATAAGCACCCACTGCACTGTACAGTCCCAGGCCTGTAGTGACACAGACTTTACTCAAATTTGAAAACAATCAGGAATAAAACCCAGAGAAACCATTGTGTAATGCCAGCATGAGTCATGATCTGCTATATGTTACAAGAAATATGAATGTAAGCATATTGTAGTAAAATTTAACTATACAAGTAACCACAGCAGTGAAATGTATAAAAAAAACAGGTAGTCTAAAACTAAATGCATTAAGTCAATTAAGAAACGTTTTAGTATTCAATAGAAACGAGGCATATTGAACACAGTAGGGTAATCTGCACAAATAAATAGAGGATATTTGTCGTTTTAGAGTGAATAACATATTTTATTTCATCGAGAAGCATTCGTGAAAATATAAATGTTTTCTTGCTTAGAGAATTGGTATTAGATTGGTATTAGAGTAAATATGTAAACTTTGTTTATCTTGTTTGAAAGTAGAACAAGTCCAGGATGACATGAGGATATATGTAAATTTGTTGTCTATTTAAATAATAAACAGTATAATTATTACAGGCAGCTACAGATCTACTGGTTCGTCAGAAACAATTATCTGTAGGTTTACCACCTGATAGAGAACGTATTATAACTCGGTAAGTTTTATATATAATAACACTTCTTATATTCATGCTGGGATTCTTCTACTACTCTTAGAAGGGTTGGATAGTTGAATGGTTAGCGTGTGCACGTTGTATCATGAGATCTGTCATTGAGTCTACTGGCGGGGTTTCGATTCCCTGGTTGTACGTGACAAGGAATAGGGTTGTCTGTCCAACTTCGTGGGTTTTCTCCAGGTCCTCCAGTTTCCTCCTACTGCTATGTTAGTCGCAAAATGCCCTAGTTTGTCCCCCCTCTCTCTCTCTCTCTCTCTCTCTCTCTCTCTCTCTCTCTACTAGGGCTGGCAAAAAATATTGATATAGCCAATAATAGTCCACGACTACGGGAAAAATCTGTATCTCCATCAGATAAGCATTAAGAAAACATAGTTTGAGGATCATAGGTTTTTGTTTTATTTGATCAATAACACATTTAAATGCATTATTAGCATACAAACATTTATTTCTTTCAACTTAAAATTTTCCGATATATTGATATTGCCGAAATGGTTGCCGATATGATTGCCGATATCGATATTTAAAATCGGTATCGGTTGCCAGCCCTACTCTGTACTACTATCAAAACATTTATCAAAACATTGAGTTGTGCAACAATTTTTACAGTTACTGCCCTTTTTTTTTTTAAAAAAAAAACCTTGTGAACACTCCACAGGTAACAATTTTGAGTTTTTTTCAAACTTGCTGATAATGAATGATTCCAAAATTTAGAGTCACCCGTCAATTTCCTGTGTAGTTATTACCCTAACCCGAAATCTGCACACCAATCCTTTAATATACTGCTAATTAGCATATAGTTGTTGCCAAGTAATGCTATATTTTCCAAAGAAATTGATGAAGAATCTCAATAAAATAAATAGGTAATTTACAACAAGAAATCATCTGACCAAGTCAGATAGAAGTAATTTATTATCTCAAGCCAAACAAACTTAATATAAGGAGAGATTTCGAAATGGTCTCTTTTCGTCCAACAACTTATTATGGTAGTTGTGCGATTTTGCTTATTAGACGTTTCTCGGATATAATAATTTGTGTTTCAAGGGAAAAAAATTTGACTTAGATTTTGGCATAGACCATAATGTCTCTTGTCATGTTTCAGGCCACTACCACCAGATGAGTTAGCAAATGTCTCTTGTCTTGTTTCAGGCCACTACCACCAGATGAATTAGCTAATGTCTCTTGTCTTGTTTCAGGCCACTACCACCAGATGAGTTAGCTAATGTCTCTTGTCTTGTTTCAGACCACTACCACCAGATGAGTTAGCTAATGTCTCTTGTCTTGTTTCAGGCCACTACCACCAGATGAGTTAGCTAATGTCTCTTGTCTTGTTTCAGGCCACTACCACCAGATGAGTTAGCTAATGTCTCTTGTCTTGTTTCAGACCACTACCACCAGATGAGTTAGCTAATGTCTCTTGTCTTGTTTCAGGCCACTACCACCAGATGAGTTAGCTAATGTCTCTTGTCTTGTTTCAGGCCACTACCACCAGATGAATTAGCTAGTATAATATATGATGCTTGTGGTGAAGATACAAGTACAGCTTCTCTTACACAGGTAAATGGTAGAGGCATTTTTAGTAAATGTCGACAGTGTGTGTGAACTAGCTTTATTTAACGTCAACTATAACCGAGGTGATATCGCAGACAAGTTGTTCACAGTTATTTTCGTATCTATAAGTAGTGGAATACAGTGATGGGACACATTTCTATAAAAATGGATTATTTTTCTGAGCAACCGTGTAGAACTTAGACCACCAGGAATCACATGAGATTAGTACTCCTTACACCAATCCTAACCACTCAAATCGCTTGCAAAACTGTGGCGCCCCCAGTATACAGGCCTGAAATACAGTTTGAGGCGGTCTAGGTAACAGTAGTCAATATTTACTGGGTTAAATATTAATGGATTAAAGTAGCTAAGTATTTAACTCAATATTATTTAAAGTCTTCAACATTGAAAACACAAATTATTTGTCAATTTAAATCAACATTGATGTTGTGATCTTACCGGGAAAAGATGAGCTTCTGATATCCAATATTTAAGACAAAATAAACATTTTACCATTGGTCATGTCATATGGTGACGACATATTCTTATCTGGAGAGCATGCGCAATAAATACTATCAGTGTAGACGGAATAACCAGACACTAGAGATTGCCATTTGATCTAAACTTCTCGCGCATTTCGCCAAACATAACTGATTAGAAATTACAGTAAAAACAGAAACGATTGAATGTAAATCAATATATATACATTCATATTACATTATTATATGCGTTGAGACCCATTTGTGTCAATTTCTAGGTCCCAAACATTAGCGATTCATAAACAAACAAAATATCAATGATATCATATCCCTGTTAAAATGGAAATTGTACCAATTTCTATCTAATCTTTATAAAATATTGACTGTTTGAATTTCAGGAACTGTTGATCTATTTGGCTATGTACATCAGAACAGAACCTAAATTATTTAATGAAATGTTACGTCTACGTGTTGGGTTAATTATACAAGTTATGGCTTCCGAAATGTCGAGAACACTGAGATGTTCAGGTACAGTACAATATATAATACATCCTTTCCTCTATCATTCAAATATTAGTTGAATTTTAAGATGAATAAATTTCTCTGGGTTTGATGTCCTTCTTGTGAAAAAATGATGTAGATTTTTGAGCCATGATATGGTGTGTGTCAATGTGAGATAGTCTTCCCTGTCATTGCACACAAACACCTGACAGGCCCCCTAATACATTAATGGGTTTGTTCTGATATGATGTGAAACATTGAGGTCATATTCAGCATTCAACAACCTTAAGTTCCAGAGTTACCTCCCCCTTTGACAAAAACCTTGTAAATGCCATAGGCCATAATCAGATTTTTGTTCAAATTTAATCTGAAGCATTGGGGTCAAAAGAGGATATTTACTGGGGTCAGTATTCAACATTCCACAGTAACACTCCTTTTTCCGAAACCTTGTGGATACTCGATTAAAGGTTCCGGAATTAAATTCTCTCAATTCCAAAAATAGTGTCAATAGAGTAAACAGGAGAATTTTGGAGTACAACGCATGTGCTGACTGCATAAAAAATATCTCAACCAATCATGAAAGCTGAAACATATTTGTTACTTAAAATATGTCACGATTCTACTCACACCACTTCAACTGTCAGGACTGGCAGAATTGTGACAATTCTGAATTCTGTATCACTTGATTGGAATTCTGTCAATTCGGAACGTCCCGAACTGACAATCGAGCTCCCCCATAGTGAATATGACAAAAGCTAGAATGATGAGCGGCCCTTAGAAGAAATAAACCCAGGAGGTTTTTAATATGTATATATGTCAGTTTCAAGTAGAAATATTTGTCATGTAATATTTAAAGTACAAGATGAATTATTTTTGTTTTTAGGTGAAGATGCCTCAGATCATTTATTAAATCTAAGTCCTTTTGAAATGAAGACATTACTTCATCATATTCTTAGTGGAAAAGAATTTATTATAAGCAGTGGTAAGATATACAACATCATAGTTATTCTCCTAGGAAATGGACCATTTTTTTAGGTTATAACACACGACACAAATATATGGAATACAAATTACTTAGAAGTTTATTTCTGAAGATATTTCAATAAGGGTTTTCTCATCTTTATCATTCTTTGTGTGTGTGTGTGTGTGGGAACGACTGAATGGTTATCGCGTGCGTGTTGTATCATAAAGTCTGTTATTGAGTCAACTGGCGTCGTTTTGGTTCCCCGGTTGTACGTGACAATGTGTAGGGTCGCCTATCCAACCTGGTGGGTTTTCTCCGGTTTCGTCCCACAGCGAAAGACCCCTACGTGCAAGTGAATGACTGAATGAAATAAAATTGAACCATATGTTAGTCCCAAAATGACCTCGTTTGTGTCGAGTAGACATTAAACCTCATTTCTCTCTTCCTTTTTATCATTCTTTGGTTGATAGAGACCGGAAAACCCTCGTCGAAACATCTCCAGAAATAAATCTTTTAAGTAACTTGTATTCTATATAATTGTGTCATGTGTTATTCTCATCCAGTTACTAAATGCCACTAAAACAATTTATTGTGCCTACATAGTTTAAGAAAGTACAGCCATTTTGTTATTAAACTTTTATTTTTAAATTGAATCTTTACTGTGGGAAACAACTATTTATTCATGATATTTTTAATAATGCTTCTTTAGCATGGAATGTATTTAATTAATGTTGTTGTTGTTGGTGATGAATCATGCTGTAGTATTTAAGGAAGAGACCCAGATTTGTTATCGTAAATTGTGAACTTTTGAAAGGATTTCCAGCCCTGTGTTCACAAAGCATTCTCAGACTCAAGTTAAGAATTGACTCAACTTTCAATCACAGATTATGAGAAATATCTTTGATCCAGAAACACAAAACTTTGCACATATTTTCTTATTGATGTATTTGATACATTAAAACAACAAAAGGTGCAATAAGGCAAACAATTTTGAGTAAATTGCTAACTTAAGTCGGAGAATGCTTTGTGAACTCCGGGCTTGATCTTCATAATTATGATTTACTTTATAAACTTTATTTTCATCCAACATACTGTCGTCTCTTCCTGTATATGGTTCAGAGCAATGCTTTCTGGTTGTGGTTCTGTGCAGATATTATTTTTTTTCTTTAAATAACCCTATTAGTTTTGATACTCTACGTATCACATATTTAGCAATCTGATTAAAACACAGATCTATATTTCATGGTTTTTTTTATACTTTCGATGGCCTACACTACATGAAGATCTGACCAGTTGTAGTGGAAGGTCGCATCAGATATCACACGAGTGGCTTTTGAACCTATGACGTCAGAGTCAGACATTGATTAAACAATCAGTGTTGATGTTTCTAGTGGGTAACCCAAAGTTCAGTGCACCTCACGCCAAAAACTCGCCATAACAGACCGTTTCATTGGCTAATCCCTCACATCACCCAGAACACAGGTTATATAACAACTCTTCCAGATCCTAGTGTAGTAAAGACAAGTAAAACGAAATTTTGAACTATAAAAAAAACGAAACGAAATAGGATCTGTGTTGTAATCAGATTGCATATTTAGATAATGAATGCACTCCACAAAATAAGATTTTATTTCTAAGATTAAAAACATTTTAATAAATTTGATGTCATTCTTGAGGATAATCCCTTCTAGTTTGGATGTATGGCGTTTTTCTTCCAAACAAAGATTCATTGGATTGCCAGACGGAACATTTTTAGGAGGGGAAACATTCATTTGTAAATCAAATTTCATGATTTGCTGTACAGCATTTTCTGTTCACAAAACAGCGGGGGTGGATGGCCAAATGGTTAGCACGTGCGCGCTGTATCATAAGATCTGTGATTGAGTCAAGTGGCGTGGTTTCGATTCCCCGGTAGTATGTGACAGGGAGTAGGGTCGCCTGTCCAACGTCGTGGGTTTTCTCCGGGGCCTCCGGTTTCCTCCCACTGCTAAAGACTCCTACGCGCAAGCGAATTATTGAAATAGAATTGAACCATATGTTAGTCCCAAAATGTCCTAGTTAAACCCCATTTCTCCCTCTCTCTGTTAACAAAACAATGTACCGGTATGAATGTCTTAGTTCTGTAAACTAAGCTAAATATGTTGATGATATCTTCAAGAATGGTATTGAATTCAAAAGTTTTGATTTTATCTAATTTTTTTATTATTTTTGCATATCTTTCAATTATTGTCCACCACCTTTTGCAGAAGGAAGGGGACTATTAAAATGAGTCTGTCTGTCTGTCGTCCGGCCGCCTGTCTGTACTTCCGTCACCATTTAGGACACAATAACGCTCCTTCTAATTGAGCCATAATGTTCACACTTGGTGTAGGTGTTTATTGGGTCAATGCCTTGATGGAGTTCAAAGATGAGCATTTTCTGCTAAGGGTAAACAGAGATAAGCAATTTGATTGGTTAATGCTTTGGGACACAACAACTTTATTTCTAATTAAGTGAGAGTGATGAAACTTGGTGTATAGTTTCTTTACATCAATACCTTGACTAAGTTCGATAATGAGCCTTTTCTGCTCAGGATAAGCAGAGCGATAAGCAATTTGATTGATCAAGATTTTGGAACACAATAACTCTGTGTTCTAATTGAGGTGGCATGCTTTAGCTTTGTGTAGGCGTTCATTAGGTGAATGCCTTGATGGAGTTGGAAGATGAGAATTTTTTGCTTACGGT